CGGGTTGAGTACAAACCCGGAAGACTCAATGTGGTGGCCGACGCGCTCTCGCGTCGACCTGACTACGCCACGACTGATGCCGACGTCAATGCCATTGACGCCATGCGATCGAGCACCCCGACGTCGTCACTGTTGGACGACGTGAAGGTCGCGTACGCGCACGACGCGGACGCGAAGCTCTTTCTGGCCTACGGCTCAGCGCCTTCTGACCAAGCTCGTCAGAAGCTGCCGAAGCATCTTCGTGCTCGTGCACACCGTTACCGGGTGCACGACGGGTTATTACACTACAGTGCAGTCGACGACAACGCGGACCGCGTTGTCGTGCCCAATGACCATGACCTGCGACTCAGGATCATGTACGAGTATCACGATGCACCGACTGCGGGGCATCCGGCCCGTGAGAAGACATACCTTCTTCTCACGCGAGACTTCTACTGGGCCCACCAGTATAAATGGGTGCGCAAGTCCGTCCGTGGTTGCGAGATTTGTCAACGTGTGAAGCCTGCGCCTTTCGCGCAGGCTCCCTTGCAGTCACTACCAACTCCACGGGAGTGTTGGCAGTCCATGTCTTTGGACTTCGTGTTCGGTCTTCCCCCGGACAGCCAGGGGAACACGGGCGTTGTGGTCTTTGTTGACCGCTTCAGCAAGATGTACCATCTTGCTGCGGTACCCGCTGAAGTGACTGCGAAACAGACGGCGCATCTGTTCGTTGACATGGTGTTCAAACACCATGGCATGCCGACCGACATTGTGTCGTATCGAGACCCGCGCTTCACTGCACACCTTTGGCAAGAAGTGGTTACACTTCTTGGGAGTCAACTTTCGATGTCGATTGCGGATCATCCGCAGACGGACGGGCAGACCGAGCGCGTGAACCGCGTGCTCGTAGACGTGCTTAAGAGCTACGCTCACTCGTTCCAACACTGGAGCGAGTGCCTGCCGATGGCGGAGTTCGCCATCAACAACTCGGTGCATGCCTCGACCGGGCATACACCGTTCTACGTGAATGCCATCAGGCACCCACGCCTCCCGAGTCTACTCGGGATGGTGGCTCCTTCGTTAAGTGGGGGAGGATCTACGACTGCAACACAGCAGCCGCAGAATGCCGCTGACACTAGCACAGTGTCAGCCGCGACTACGCGCAAGAAGACCAAGAAGCACGCGTCTGTGCAGGGCACAGACGCCGACAAGAGCAAAAAAAAGAAGAAGAACGGGTCTGTGCAGGGCACAGACACCGCGAAGACGAACGCAGAGGCCGGACCTACTGCTAGAAACGAGCTGAACTCGTTCAGCTCGGACGCAATCAACTTCGTGCAGCGAAGACAAGCCGTCATTCGGTTTGTCCAAGACGCTATTGCAGCTTCTGTCGACCGACAGAAGCTGAACGCAGACAATGTTTGTAGGGGCAACACTAATGAATTCAAGAAGGGTTCATTGATTTTGTTAGCAACTCAAAACCTGCCTAAACATGCAGTTTCCGACTTCGGGACGAGCAAGCTCGCTCCGCGCTTCATCGGGCCGTTCACGGTGTTGGCACGGCCGGCAACGCCTACTCGCTAGATATTCCATCTAGCATGCGCCTCCATCCGACCTTTTACGTCGGGCGGCTGAAGCCATACCGGCAAGCACGAGCCATCTAGCTCGGCTGGCCCGAAGCGGAAGCCCCAGCGGGAGCGAACCTCTGCTCCAGCGCGTGAACGCGCTGGGCCAAGCGCACGACGCGACCTCCCACGTCGACAGAGATGTCCGACGCGGTCTGCGAGGCCTGAGCAACTTGAGCTCTCAGGGTCGCCATCTCCTACTTCAGAGCGGCGAACTCACGGCTCTGAAGCTCCTCCACAGCAGCGACCCGCTCCTCGAGCGTCGGGCCAAGGTCAACCCCAGGTTGACCATACCCGGGGCCTGTTCCCACCACCGCCGCCTCCGATCCGCGACGCCCGCGGCTCAACACGCTGGATTGTCGAGCGTATTGTGAACCATAGTATCCCGAAAACGAACCGGCAGCCGGTTCGTTATCGTATTCGTTGGAGAGGGTTTCCGCCCCACCAAGATACATGGGAGCCACGGGACGTCCTGCTGCAGGACGTTCCGGAAATGGTGAGGACGTACGAAGCTCACCACGCACTGCCGACGCGAAGGTAGTGCGAGCGCTGTGGTCACCTACAGCACCCGGGGTCCCACGATCGTAGCGTTCCTCACGTGCCAAGAACTTGGCACGGAGATCCTTGAGACTCGCAGGTACACGAATCGTCGTGTACCCGTTTAGGTCGCGGTCGCTCAAGCGCGCCGCACCCGGAAGACACAACGTGCACTGTTGGCCTTCGGGCACAGCGCGTGGAATACCAGAGTCCACAGAAGATCTGTGGAGCTGCTCCAACCTCCCGCGCGTCGAGAATGTCTGGAAGCGTTCACGGGCGTGCTTAACCCGCTCACGGTAAGCAGCCGGCTTCTTGTTGAAGTTCTCAACAAAAGCATTCCGACTTTGACAAAGTACCTGCCACTCAGGCACTTTGCTGCGAGAAGAGGTCTTTTTGCTGGAGAAGTATCGGAGCTCGTGAAAGAGTCCGATATAGTAATCGCGCCTTTGATTCGTTAACGGATCAAAGTGCTGCTCCTCCGCCACAGCATCGTCGTGGATCCCGCTGTATACGTACAGCGGGATTTCGTTTGGAGGCACAGTGTTGCCCACACGGTCTGCGATCTCTGACGCAGACGGCATCCACGGATCGCGCGCTGCTCAGGCAGCGCGCGGAGAACTTGAAGACGCCACCTCACGCGGGGAGCTTAAAGCCGCAGCAGCAGAGAGCGGAGTGTCACTCTCGCCGCGCGAACGCTTCGAGCTCGAAGCGTCCGAGTCGTCTCCTTCACGAGGGCGTCTCGACCCGGCATGCGGGTCGAGACTATCGCTGTCGATAGACTCCTTGCGCTTGCTAGAAGAGGCCTTGCCCTCTTCCATCTCCACGTCGTCGCCTTCGTAGTCAACGGGGTCGTTGACTACAGAGGAACCTTCGAGGACAATCTTCGACTGGGTTGTCCCCGACGCGGCCTTTGCAGCGAGCGCATCGCGCTTTGCCTGCTGGCGCTCATGGTACTGAGCAACAGAGAGGTTACCCTCTGTTGCGGCGGCGGTCATCTTCTGCGGCGAGCTCATTGCGGAATGAGCTCGAGTTTTTCTTTCTCCCAACGTGGAGAATTGACGAATGGTCAATTTCCTGATTGACGTGCCGTGACTCGGCGCGTCTAACCTTGAGGGGGGGGGGGAACAGGGTTATACGCACAAGTGGCTACAGTCACTTGTAACTCTAACAGACACGACGTCTGTTAGAGGTTCGAAAGACTTTCTCGACCTTGGTGTAGACACACCAAAGGCTACATACATTTGCGACCACCACGACGGGTGGTCCATAGAGACTTAGGATTCCTATTGGCTGAGAGCAGCATCTCTTAGCCAATGAGCGACATGCATAGCATTGGAATTCTGCCAACCAGCCGTTGGCAGATTCCTATCTTAGAATATTACATTTAGAGGAAGTCAGAAACATAAAACAAAAATAGCAGTTTTCATTTTAACCCAAAAACATTATTTGGATCGTTTATTTAGATTAATCTATACTCGGAGGCCCGAGTATAATTAACTCTTATTTATACTAAGCTACGCTTCCTCACATACACGCGCACACGTGTATGCTAAAGTAGTGAGCCAAAGTAGGCCCATTACAGCCTGGGGCTGACTGACGTGAAGACTTACGTTTCCCAGATTTTCGGTCTCTCACTTCCGGTGGTGCCGTCGGGAGTATGGGACTACCTACCCGTCTTGTACGGAATGCTGGAGGGCAACTTGCTGGACGGCGTCGAGTCGAAGGTTCATGACGTGTTACACGCGAGCTGGACACTCGGCATCACACTAACTCTACAGGCGATCTGGGGCAGGCGCTGCAGATGTAAAGGCCCAAGACTGGACATTGGCGGTGGGGTGGTGCCACGGCGCATAGCAGACGCCCGTCGAGAGCGTCGAGGCATTAGCGGAAGAGGCAGTGGCGGGGACTGCGGCGGCAACAGCGAAGGTGGTGACGAACTTCATTTCTGCTTTAGTAGCTGCAGTGAGCTTGGTGTTGTTGGGAGGTCCTTGTGCTCGACGAGGAAGATTGGAAAGTGAGCTCAGGCAACAGCAAGAAGAGTGTGGTCGGCCCCCATACTTCTGGCTAAGGTGTGCTCATGCGTGAGCAGATTCTGAAGGAAGTGGATTGTTTGGATGAAGATCGCGTGACTGCAATCTCCAACTTTTACAAACGGTACCCCCTCTTGTGTACCTTTTCGCTAAATAATAACCGGGAATGACGCATGCTCTCGCGCCGTCCTCCACGACCTTTGTGAAGAGAGCGTACCGCACAAAATGTCCACCGCAGTGGAAAGTCAGATTTGAGCTTTCGACACATTTGACTACAGCACGTGACTAAGCTCTTGTCGTTCTTTCGTGTTGGAACGGACAAGAATGTACACGTCTTTGGTACGATACGTATCCTGAGACCTGTACTAGTTCAGTACAGCAAGGCCTCTATACCTTGCCCCCCTTCCCGCGCCAAAATTGAAGCGATTCTAGAATTGTATCATTGAACATATAGAGATGCTAATGGAGCTCAGCCACTTTCACCGAAACGATCGGTGTTGTCACGCGATCGTGAAATGGCGCAGTTACGCCAAATAATGTTCACTTGGAGGAAGCTATACATGTATCTGGCTCATGAAGCTAAAGCAAAACGATTTCATCCTAGAGCGTTCAGGCGCGGGCATGGTAGTTATTGCTCCAGCCTGGGAGAGGCACTCCTTTGTGTAGGTTTACAACCGATGCCTGCCAGCAAAAACAAAAACGGAACTTTGGCAATGACTCGATATGGTTGACGAACGGTTAACACAAACAAAGATGAAAGTTAAAAAGATCATTATATTTTTAGCTGCCAAGTTGTTGTTTTTTACTCGGAATCGTAATCCAATTGCTCGAGTTACCGCTTCTGGTAATTGACGAAGCGCATGGCCAGCAGCGTGAAGACACTGAAGGCGAGAACAAACACGACCAAAAGTCCGCAGTTCCTCCAGATCTCGCTGTGCTTCATCAAGAAGTTGGTCTCCAGGTACTCCTTGACCGTGATGTTGTCCGGCAGTGACGGAGGGACATTCGTCATCTGCGTGCAGCCGAGGTCGCCGTCACTTGAACACTCGCCGAACACCACAGCAGAGAACGCTGCCGTGCTGTACTTCATGGGGGTGATGTCGTAGAGCCACACGGTCGCCGATGGGAGCGCCGAAGCCGGAGGGCTGAAGCCTGAGAACAAGTAGCCGATGAGGTTCAACAAGACTCCGACAATCTCTGCCACCTCCAGGTTCGGCAGCAGGAACACGAGCAACTCCGCCATGTACGCTTGGTGCAGCACCTGCAACACCAGCACCAGCCAGGAGGTGAGGAATGCTCCGACACCCGAAAACCCCACCATGGGGTAGAACGGGATCAGGAACAGCAACACTGCGACGATAGCGTACGGGATCTCCATGACGCTCATACCGACGAAGTACCAGAGCGCACTATATGTTTGAGATGCGCGCTCGCGGTAGAACACTGCGCGTTCTTCAGCAGCGATCGGGATCAAGCCGTTGAATGCAATGAGACCGATGAAGGACATGACCAAGTACAGCATCCCCATGCCGGAGTTCACGCCCGAGTACGACATGTACTCGACTCCAACGTACGTGATGCCGTAGAATAGCCCCAAACCGAGTGAGATGGCAAAGCGGGTCAAGTTGAAGGAGGCCGTGCGCCAGTACAGATCGCAGAAGCGCTTCAACAGGAACTTGGCTTGAGTCAACTCCGATGCTGCGCGCTTGTCACCAAACTCCAGAGCGGGCAACGAAGGTGACGGTCGTGTCACGCCTTCTTGGTCCAGGTTCGACTGCAGACGTTTGAAGTGCTCGCTGGACTTGAAGATCTCCACGAAGTCCGTCTGCGATCCATTGTCGTTGCCCACGCCAGCGCCGATCACCTCCAGCATCCAAGTGGCAGCATTGTAGTCCTCCTTCAGCTTGGCCACACCGTCGATCGACTCGAAGTAGTTGGTCATCTCGCTCGCGTTCTCGCCCAACTCACCGGCAAACACCGTCTCGCCTCCGCGCTTCAGCAGCAACAAACTGTCGAACACGCCGAAGACTTCTGCTGAAGGCTGGTGAATCGTGCACAGAATGGTGCGCCCCGTGTCCGCCACCTTGCGCACTCCGTCCATGATGAGCTTGGCCGACCGCGCGTCCAGGCCGCTCGTGGGCTCGTCCAGGAACAAGACGCTGGGCTGCGCGGCCAGCTCCACGCCGATCGTCAGGCGCTTCATCTGCTCCACGGAGCTGCCGCGGATGATCTGATCGGCGATCGGGTTCAGGTCCAGCAGGTCCAAGCACTCGTTCACCGAGTCGAACTTGAGCGCGTCCGGGATGTCGGCGCCCTGCCGCAAGAACGCGCTGAAGGTCAGCGCCTCGCGGACCGTCGACGACTGCGAGTGGATGTCCATCTGCTCGCAGTACCCCGTGGAGCGCCGAATGGCCAGGTCCGTGGCGGGATGGCCGTTCAGCAGAATCTGTCCGCGGATCTTGCCGCCAGTCTTGCGGCCAGCAATCACGTCCATGAGCGTCGTCTTGCCGGCGCCGGAAGAGCCCATGAGCGCCGTGATCGTACCTGGAAGTGCGTATCCAGAGATGCCCTTGAGCAGGTCAATGGTGCTCTTCGGGTTGGTCGGGTCCGGAACCGTGTACCACAAGTCCTTGAACGCCACAGTCACTGGCGTGAATGCTCTCTCATGCGCTGGCTGAACTGGCAACGCAACTGACGGCGATCTGCGTGGCGTTGCAGTGGCAAAGTAGCTGTCTGTGGGCTTCGTCTTGGTCTCCGAGTCCAGTGTGATATTCTCCGGGCTCTCGAACCGATGGAACTCCAGTGCGATGCAGGACAAACATAGGAAAAATACGTACGTGGCAGCCATGAACACCATTCCGTACCACAACCAGTACTTCTCGGACTGCACCCCGTACGTGGTGAGCGAGTACTCGCCCATTGTCATCCCGTACTTGGTGCAATAGTCGATGCCGTTAAACACGCACTCGTTGAAGTGCGGGTTGATGTACTGGTTCACGGCAAGCGCACGAAGTCCCCACGAGATCGGGTTGAGCCAGTACAACCAGATCAAGTAGTCTGGAATCTGGTCCTTCGTGATCGTGTACCCCGCGAAGATGCAGACGTACACCACTGCCACACTGGAAATGGGACTCGCCACGTTGAGATTGGGCGACGCAGACGCCAAGAAGAAGAAGAACGCGGCCAGCGTGAAGTTCGTCAAGGTCAGCACCACCAAGAAGACGAGAAAGCTCCAAAAGCTGCTCACGAAGCCGCACATCCAGTAGACGATTGACCCGAAGATCACGGATTCCAGGACAATTGGGGGCGCCTGGTTGGCGAAATTCGACAGTACATAGGACGCGGTTCGGAAGAAATTGGCGCCTCGCTGCTTGTAGAACACATCACGCGCTGCCATGATCGTTGGGACCTGGGCGGCCTGGCCGACGGATAGGTTCAGGATCGCCTCAAACATGATGCCCATGGCCACTTGAGCGTCCGTCATGTCGAATTGATAGTAGACGCTCGAGCAGAGTAACGCGATCATCGTGTTCATCATCACGCGCCCGATCAGAGCTGTAGTTTCTCGCTTGGTGATGGTTAGCTGTCGCTTCATGAGCAGCGACGTGCTGGCCCAGAAGCTCTGCGAGAACTCGTGCTGAGTTTCCATGTGCGTCTTCATGTCCTGGACGAGATCGGGACTCGCAGGCTCCTCCAGTTCCTTCAGCGTGTGGGCGTAGATAGTTGATCGCTTGAACGCGTCGGCGAATTCACTCGGGGTGCGAGGAACGGCGTGTCCAAGCGCGAGCTTTTGTTCGTACTGGAGCTGCTTATCGGTACCGAGGTCCAGCAGGAAGTCGGCCACGTCACGCGACGGAGGACACTTGAAGCCGAGAGACTCGAAGTACGCCAGCGCCTGCTCGCACGGGCCATGGTACATGAGGCAGCCCGCGTTGAGGATCATGACGTCGTCGAAGAGCGCGAAGACCTCGGGCGACGGCTGCAGCAGCGAGATGGCCACCGTCTTGCGGAACTTCTTGGCCAGACTGCGCTGCGTCGTGATGATGTCGAAGGTGGCGGCGCTGTCGAGCCCCGTGCTGATCTCGTCCATCAGCTGCACGTACTTGTTACCAAACGCCATCTCGCCCGTCGTCACGCGCTTGCGCTCTCCGCCCGACACACCTCGCAGCATGGCGTCGCCCACGACCGTGTGCTGGCAGTTGTCGAGTCCGAGCTGCTGGATCACGACGTCCGGGTGGTGCTTGGCCATGGCTCGCGCGGCCTTCAGAGCCTCCGCGTTCTCCTCGGGCGTGCCGTTCACCAGGTGACTCGCGTCTCGCTCGGACAGCTCCCCACCACCACCACACGCAGCGTGGGCGAACTCCAGCGTCTCCTTGACCGTCAGCTCCGGGTAGTGCTTGTCACGCTGCGGCACGTACGACACGAGCTGCGGCAGACGCGCGCGCAGCTCCGCAGCCGACGTGCCGTTGTACTTGACCTCGCCCTCGATCGAGACACTCTTGTCCTGGGGGAAGCGCCCGCTGAGCAGCTTCATGAGCGACGACTTGCCCGAGCCCGGCTGGCCCAGCACCAGCGTGATGGTCCCCGGTTTGAGTACGCCGCTCACGTCCCGCAGGATGCGCTTGGTCACCGTGTGCTGATTGGCCGTGAGGCTCTGCAGCGTCTTCATCATCTCGGTCGGCAGCGTCGGCAGCTGCGCCTCGAGGTTGCTCCTGTCCTTGACCACGACGTCGGCCGAGATGGATACATCCCTGAAGCGCACCTCCATTTGGGGCAGCGTCTTGCCCAGCGACCGCTCCAGACGCGAGGCCATGTGATCGTGCAGCGCCAATGGACCTCGAGCCATCAGCGTCTTGCCGTCGTCGTACTCGATCGCGGGGGCGAATGGTGGTGCATTGGTGTCACCACCAGTGACGGTATCAACCATTGTGGGTTAGTATAGTACGGTGTGGTACTAGGGAGGAGGTGGTTAAATGGGAAGTGATGGCTTTCAACCGATCGTTGTTGTGGAGGTGAGGGGCATTGTTGATGTTTGCTGGACGACACTTTGCCTGGCAAACGTCCCGCTACGATACGCCGCTTTGCCTGGCAATCAAATCGACGCATCAGATTCAGAGTCAGAATCAGAAATCTGAGTGACGCTCCAGCAACTTGAAATCTAGCAACATCAGAAGGTCAACTTTCTAACAACAACATCAGAAGCTATATTGACTCGAGCACGCCCTTCGCCTCTGGTGAAGCACCTGTGGCGTACCGTGCAATAGACTGAGATCGCCATTGCTATGACTGTTTGGTCTGATGTCGCCAGTATCTTTCGACGTGTCGACCACAGCGGAGCAGGGTGATAAAACTTCTGACTCCAAAATCGGGGGCAGAAGACCAGGTTTTGTTTGTTATAGACTGCGAGTGTACGCCTTCGCGCGGCAGTGAGTATTCACTGGACGTCTCTAATTATTGACAAAGTCCACTTGGACGTCGTTTCTTACATGCCGTCGAGCCCAATCAGGCGTGGGTTAACTTTTTGTCGCCACATCTTGTTGAAGTTTCGATGACGAAAGTCACAGCGGCTCGAACAGAATAGGTGAGCTCTTGAGCTCGGACCGCGAACCAACTACTGTACTGTACTGTACTACTGGTACACTGTATAGAGACACAATTGCACAATCGATTGATCCTGGTACATGTACGCGACGGCGCAGCATAGAGCACCAAATTCCCACGGATATTGCTTTGCAGACAGGTACGCGGTGGACTACGGCACGAAAAATTGCAAGCTACATGTGTTGCCCATTCGACTGCCATGACACAGCATTATCCATGAAATTGAATCAAATATGACTGGAAGTACAAGTATAAATAGTTTTTAGGCGATAAATGCGATTTCTCTACGCAAGACTGTGTTCTTGGATGCCCAAACCCAAAGAAGATAAACAGATACATCGTCATTGTGTATTACCTGTATTCGCCAAGTTATTGGCTTACCAACGCGTGCACACACACAACCAACCACCTTCCGCCGTTTACGGCAAATCCTCCTTCACGAAGACAAGAAGACAACACCCCGTACATATCTTTAAGATTTAGACCGGATCTATCATTGCGCCCTTCGACGCTAACAGCCATGGATCATTAGTCAGCTTTGAGCGAGTACAGGAATCCTGGGCGGATCAGCTTCCAGGTGCTGCACTCGACTCTCCATTCATTCCTCAATTTACTTTGCCAAGCGCAAGTACCTCCCGACAACCTCACCTTCCTGCAGCTACTAAAGCAGACATGAAGTTCGCCACCACCTTTGCAGTTGCTGCCGCTGTCGCCGCCTCTTCCGCTGATGCCTCGAGACTTTCGACGGGTGTTTGCTACGCGCCGTGGCACCACCCCGCCGTCAACTGGGACGTGCTCGCCAAGGACATGAAGCAGGTGGCCGAGCACTTCTCCAGCATCCGCACGTACGAGGCGCAGATGAGCGGCGTCAATGCCATTGACATGGCGGCGGCCGCCGGTCTCCGCGTTGCTGTCGGTGTGCAGCTCTGCGATCCCAACCGTATCGACGCCGAGATCAAGGCGGTCTGCGATGGCTACGCGCGGAACCCGTGGGCCGTCGAGGCTGTCTACGTCGGTAACGAAGACCTACAGAACAATGGATTCGGTAAGTACTCGGCCGACCAGCTCATCGGCTTCATCAACCGCGTGCGTAGCTGCGTGGGCAAGACGCCCATCGGATCGGTGCAGCGCATCAACGAGTGGCTGAGCGCCAATGATGCGTGGAAGCTGGCCAACGCCGTGGACAACATCGGCGTCAACATCTACCCATTCTTCACGCCGGGCTCGCAGCCGTCGGTGCAGAAGCTGGATGCACAATGGAACCAAATGGTGTCCAAGTTTGGCTCGAACAAGCTTCACCTGACCGAGACGGGCTGGCCGACCGCCGGTGAGAGCTACGCCGGCAACGTTCCGTCGGTGGGTGCCTTGACGCAGTACTTTTACGACTACGTCTACGGCTGGTCGGTCGGCAAGGGCCAGTCGTACTGGTTCATGATGTACGACACGACCGTGAGCTACACGGGAGCCGAGCACGAGAAGCACTTCGGCCTCTTCAACACGGACATGTCGCCGAAAATCAACATGCCGCAGAACCCGAGCCAGCAGCAGCAGCAGCGTCTCCGCCGCGACTAACTTTACGTCGTGCATCTCTGAGAGCATTGACGCTACTCACGGTTCAGGAAGTGGTAAACGGAAACTTCTGAACAAACACTGAAAATAAAATCGATGGTTGAGTGCGTTGGTATTTCCCCTGTGTCTATTCTTAATTGAAATTTGTTGTTGGCATCTCCTAGATCTCGTTGCCGCTGTCCGGTTAATTAATTGTGTTCAAAATTACATTGGCGAGTTGGCAGTGGAAACGCCAACCTATATGATCAATGAAACATGGCACCCAGAATGTTTTGCAGCTGGGACTCCACCGGTGTGACCATTTGGTGCACTTCACCGACGTGTAACTCATGCCACGTGAACCACCATGGCCTGGAACACATAAACCTCGTTCGGGTGACTGTGAGGAAGTGGCACCGAAACCAGAAGGGAAGGCTCAGTTCATGTGCAACAAGCGTTGATGCTCTAGCTGTAATGCAGCGTGGCCCACAGCAGCATCAGAAAGTTCCTGATGACAGAAACATCCATTCTTTCTTTGGTATTCAACCGGGTTACCTGTACCTGCATTCGTCTCACAAGACTCAAGACAGCGCTCGCCTGGAAAAGCGCGCAAATCCACTCGATCTGCATCGCCGGGCCATGTACATGTCCTGAAGCAGTAATTCCCGGCGTGGGTTAACATTGTCACCACGTCAATACTGCTCGTCGGTGGTGATAGCAGCTTCGGCGCTGAAAGCGATGGCGATCCAGCGGTCGGGTCCCCGGGATCATCCTACGATGAATTATCCAGCGGTCGGTTCGGTGGAGAAGCGAGTCAACGCAATTCTACAATCGATTGATTCAGGCGCACACGAGCGGAGCATAGAGCGCCATCTTTGCGGCCAAGGCCCCGTATCAAGTCAAGCTTTGCAGGCAGACAAGCCGCAAAATACGACGCGAAAAATTGTACGCTTTGGCTGTTCCCCGTTTTAGTCAAGGGTGGAAAGCTTCAAGCAAGGAGCGATCACTATGGGGGTGATCCTTTTCACGCTTGAGAAGTAAGAAAACAAAATAACACCACGCATGCTTGAGTGGGTTAGATTCTAGATAGTGTTATCTCAAATACATATCCGTCCATAAGCATGTGCCCACATTGATACAGTCCCGTATTTACCATGCTGTAACGTTAGTTGACCAAGCGTCTACCGGTCGGCGCACAATCCCCGCGGACACCAAAAGCAGATCCCGTGAATTCGACTGGATCCTCGGCCGTACGATTCGACACCGTACACAATGCTGTCTTGTGTAACACATGACAGCGCATGTGGACTTTCGTGTTTGTCCTCCGCTTGCTACTGTCTCAAAGCATTAGCAACGGTATCCCGGATGCCACACAGCACCTCTACCGGAACCGCAGCAAAGCCCCCGTCACTGCCAGTCTCTCTTCATTCCACAACTTACCTTGTCAAGCGCAAGGTCCTCCCAAGAACCCCCAGCTTTCTGCAGCTACTAAAGCAGACATGAAGTTCGCCACCACCTTTGCAGTTGCTGCCGCTGTCGCCGCCTCTTCCGCTGATGCCTCGAGACTTTCGACGGGTGTTTGCTACGCGCCGTGGCACCACCCCGCCGTCAACTGGGACGTGCTCGCCAAGGACATGAAGCAGGTGGCTGAGCACTTCTCCAGCATCCGCACGTACGAGGCGCAGATGAGCGGCGTCAATGCCATTGACATGGCGGCGGCCGCCGGTCTCCGCGTTGCTGTCGGTGTGCAGCTCTGCGATCCCAACCGTATCGACGCCGAGATCAAGGCGGTCTGCGATGGCTACGCGCGGAACCCGTGGGCCGTCGAGGCTGTCTACGTCGGTAACGAAGACCTACAGAACAATGGATTCGGTAAGTACTCGGCCGACCAGCTCATCGGCTTCATCAACCGCGTGCGTAGCTGCGTGGGCAAGACGCCCATCGGATCGGTGCAGCGCATCAACGAGTGGCTGAGCGCCAATGATGCGTGGAAGCTGGCCAACGCCGTGGACAACATCGGCGTCAACATCTACCCATTCTTCACGCCGGGCTCGCAGCCGTCGGTGCAGAAGCTGGATGCACAATGGAACCAAATGGTGTCCAAGTTTGGCTCGAACAAGCTTCACCTGACCGAGACGGGCTGGCCGACCGCCGGTGAGAGCTACGCCGGCAACGTTCCGTCGGTGGGTGCCTTGACGCAGTACTTTTACGACTACGTCTACGGCTGGTCGGTCGGCAAGGGCCAGTCGTACTGGTTCATGATGTACGACACGACCGTGAGCTACACGGGAGCCGAGCACGAGAAGCACTTCGGCCTCTTCAACACGGACATGTCGCCGAAAATCAACATGCCGCAGAACCCGAGCCAGCAGCAGCAGCAGCGTCTCCGCCGCGACTAACCAAACGTCGAGCGTAATCCCCACCGTGTGATCCGAGAATTTGATCATATGAGGCTAAACAACGAGTATCACAGGCTCATTACGAAGTGTAGTAGAAAGTCAATACAAATCGGGAAGGGAACATTGTGCATTTGAGTGTTTGCATGCAAGGCCCGTTAGTTGCAATAACAAGGCACGACGCGCACGCCGTTGGCTGGAGTCAGGTATACATGTAGCTCGATGATTTCCTACTAATGTGCAAAATCCTTTTGTTTGTCGTAGGAAAGATGCCCAGGCAGGAATGGACACGCTCATGCTATCCATTGGGTGTTTCAGCTTTCTTCGACGAACGATCACCCCCATACAGCCAGCACCTTCTAAGCGCTGTAGTATTCGAACGGGATGCCGTTAGAAAGCAGTGTTTAATCTCCTGGTCCAGTGCATACGGTGCTCTCGAGCAGCGAAGATAGATAAGAGTTCATGTAAGATAAATACGCAGAACTGGCGGTGGCAATCAATCCGCGCCGTCGAGACACGGACACCGCTCCATGGCAAACGCTCGCTTGATTGGTCCTGGTGAATAACGCCATGCTTGCGCTCGTCGATCGCGTTCCATCTTGCGTGGCGTGCAAGGCGAGCAGACTCCTTCTGACCACTTCTCGTCTGGAGCCCAAGACTGTCGAGCTCGATTCCATGTCTTTCCCGACTTCCAAGTCCCAGCTCTCCGCCCAAGAAAATGCTCCCGAGTCACATCGCGGCGGCGCTGGTTTCGGTGGGTGGGCGGAAGACAATGCCATTCCGCACTGGACGCTGTTGCCCTCGAGCGCTCCTATGGTCGATAGGATCGTGCAAGATCGCGTGATATTGTCGCTCTCTGGAGGACAGTTTAGCGCGCGTGTACATGCACCGGTTCCCCGCTTAACCCGACTGCCATACTTTAACCTGCTTTCACGGGGTATCAATTCCCATCTTCCTCTTTCATACAAATTTACTGTTTCTTGCGTAAACCTACGATAACGCATGCATTCTTCAGTGTTGGCTATCATTCAGCGAAGGATTAATCAGCGTTCCACTGTCCGCAGCTATCTGGCCTCCTTCAAATCGCCCCCCGAAGTTGCATCATCCCCTCATGACCTCCCTGTTGCAACAGCTCCCTGCATCTATATGCGCGTTCCCTGGCCTTCCTCAGGCCGGCGGCGCCACTTTCTATTGATCAGGTGGCCAGCAGCTTCTGACGCGCAACGCGCCACTTCCGCAACCGACGGCGCGAGAGAGATGGAGATCTGGGCGCCCTGGGAGACCTCCCGCCGCGCGCGCGCCTTCGTCGGCCCCGCCGTGGCCGCGCAGCAGCTCCAAGACCAAGACCAAGACCAAGACCAAGACCAAGACCAAGACCAAGACCAAGACCAAGACCAAGACCAGAACCAGGAGCAGGAGCCGGGCCATGACCACGACGACGACGACGAAGACGACGACTTCCAGACTCTCGGCGGCACGTGGATCGGGCCGCTGGCCTGCGTGCGCGTGGTGCGTCGCTCGCGCCCGGACGTGGCGGCGCTGCCGCACGTGTGGGAGGCCGTGGAGGCCTTCCTGGACTGCTCGCCGAGCTGCACGTTGACGCGCGCGGCGGCCTTCGGCTCCATGCGCCTCCTGCGCGGCATCTCGGCGCGCTCGGGCGGGATGGTCACGCTGGACGCGTTCTACAAGCAGGCGCAGTTCTCGGGCGCCATGCAGCACGCGGCGGCCAGAGGAGACCTCGAGATGATCCAGTGGCTGCTCAACTTCCAGCCCGGAGGGCTCGTCACGCGCGCCGTGGAGCAGGCCGCGCGGAACGGCCAGCTCGAGGTGCTGCGCTGGCTCAAGCAGCACCACGACCACGTCTTCTGGGGCGCCAACGAGCTGCGCTTCGCCGTGGAGGGCAACCACGCCGAGGTCGCGCGCTGGCTGCAGGACAACACGCGACCGCCGTCCAAGCTGCGCGCCATGAACCTGGCTGCGGCCAACGGCAACCTGGAGCTCGTGCAGTGGCTCCATGAAGTGCGGCACGAGGCGTCGTCCTCGGCCGCGGCCAAGGCCGCGCAGGGCGGGTACCTGGACATGCTCAAGTGGATGGACAAGCACTCGCTCTGCAAGCACCAGGGCGTGCCCGTGGAGGACGCGGCGGCGGGAGGACACTTGAAGGTCGTCAAGTGGCTGCACAAGTCCGGCGTAGGCATCGCCACGCCGCGCGCGATGAACGCCGCAGCAGCCAACGGACACCTTGACGTGGTCAAGTGGCTGCACCGCAAGGGCAAGGACTACGCGTGCACACACGTCGCCATGGACGACGCAGCGATGAATGGACACCTGGAGGTGGTCAAGTGGCTCCATTCACACAGGAACGAGGGATGCACGACGGACGCGATGAATGGAGCGGCCAGGAACGGACATTTAGGTGTCGTGCAGTGGTTGCACGCCAACCGGAAGGAGGGCTGTACGACGCGAGCCATGGATGACGCCGCTGCGAATGGACACTTGCGCACGGTCATGTGGCTGCACAAATACCGACCGAAGGCCGAGAGCGCGAGGAACTCGTTCAGTGTGGGGAGCAATAGCAGCTCCAGCTCAAGGTCCAATGACGCGGGGAAGGGGGGAGGCTGCACTTCGAACGCGATGGACGGCGCGGCACGGGGCAATCATATGGATGTGCTCAAGTTCTTGCATCGATATCGGGACGAAGGCTGCACTGAGCGAGCCATGGATGGAGCCGCGGCTGCTGGACTTCTAGGAATGCTGCAGTGGTTGCACGAGCATCGATGTGAGGGCTGCACCGTTGCGGCCATGGACGAAGCAGCGGCTAACGGACACTTTGAAGTGGTGAAATGGCTACATGACAACCGCATTGAAGGCTGCACTGTACGAGCGATGGACGGAGCCGCTGCTGGTGGCCACCTCCGCATCGTCAAGTGGCTACACGCTAACCGGCCCGAAGGCTGCACTGAGGCCGCTATGGATGGAGCAGCGGGTCATGGGAAGCTTGATATGCTCAAATGGCTACACAAGAATCGCACGGAGGGCTGTACGACCGCCGCTATGGACAAGGCTGCAGCTGGGGGACACTTCGAGGTGCTGCTGTTCCTGCACACCAAACGATCCGAGGGCTGCACGATGGACGCAGCGGTGAACGCGAGTCGCAACGAACACGTGGAGATCCTGCAGTGGCTTTTCCGCTTCTACCCGCGTATGATCCACCGTGAGAAAGTAATCGTCTTCGCCAAGCGGTATAACTACTACCTCATGGACTGGCTGCACCGCAACTACCAAGCGACAGGAGAGCGCACGGTGCTGGCCGAAATCAACTCCTCATTCTACCTCACCCCACCAGAGACCGAGGAGCTGACCACCTAGACTACTATAAACCACGACTGTCCCGTCGAGGGCAGCATAGACAGCTGATGAGCTCGAGAGTAGAGCCGCCGAACTGAATATAAATCCAAGCGAACTACGCTGACCAACGTCTGCGGATGGTACGTGCTGCATCTTACTTTCTTGATGATCGAAAGGGATGTCTATTGATCATGTTTCCTTGTAGATACACTCAATCACGCTACGCACTTGGAGACCTCATAGCTACGAAGTTCGCGCCATCAACAGCTCCACTCTTCCTGTTCTCCCGGGTTTCATGAGCTGGCGAGTTGATCACGACGGAGATCGACGCCTGCTCCCCACAAGTCGAGGCTGCTTGAGGATCGTTGATCACTGCGGAGATGATCTGGCCGTCGGACGGAGCCTTGCGCGGGTAAATGAACGTGAGGATGAGCTGAATCGAGCCCAGCAGCGCGCCGGAGGCATTGGGGACGAGGATGAAGACGTCGTCCACGAGGATGGCGTACACGACCCAACACAAGCTGTTGATGACATTGACGACCCCCATCGTGAAGGGCATGGAGGACGACGTCTTGGTCTGGATCACGTGCCGGATGGTGGCCATGGGCGACGCGTACAGGCCGACGGACGAGACGATGACAAGGACACCCAGCGTCGTCCCCGTGGACGACCGACTCTGACCTGTCCACCCGAGGAGGGCAACGAGACCGTAGATGGTCTCCAAGAGCATGATCACGCCTGAGATGACGAAGACTTTCATGACGTCACGCTTGTGCACGGTCCAGCGGTAGAAGAAGACGGAGAAAATGACCCCGCAGATGACGCCCAGGGCGGCGGTGAGGAAGAGCGGGATGATGTTGTCCACGGCGTAGCTGTACCAGCAGAGCAGGTAGCAGTTGGCGTACAGCAGCACGCACGGCAGGACGGACATGTCGCCCGTGCTCTTCATCTTCCGCATCCGCTGGAAGTCCGGCAGCAGCGAGATCCGCATGAAGATGGTCGTGACGATCGTGATGACCTTGAACACCAAGATGGCCGTGTCGGTGCCGCTCATGGCTATCTGCTGTTGTCTGTATTCTGGATGGAGTCGGTCTAATGGAGATGTGAGCTCGAGGCCCTCGAGCACACGGTGAGACTCCAGCAGAGGCTGCTTCGTCCGGCTTGATTGGTCGCACTTTGCCCCATCTATGTCGCTGCAGGTCGCGCGGGACATCGATCATCGAGGATCCAGTCGATGAGGCGATGAACAGTTTGACTTTGGCGCTGATCCCTGCGTCGCGGCACATGTACACTGTACTGCAGCGGAGCCCCTACTACTACTGTACTTTATAGGGTTGTTCTTTGTGAAGTTTGCGTCTTGGGGTGATTGATCTCCGCTGGTGTCTTTATCTTGCGGTTGAATTCTTTCTCGGGTATACTTACGAGCGTTAGGATCAGTTGCGTGGAGCCCAGTGCCAACCCCGCGATGTTCGGGGCCAGGATGAACATGTTGCTGACGAGCGCGGAGTACATGATCCAGCAGATTGTGTTCACGACGTTGGCGACGCCCATCGTGAACGGCATCGACGATGAAGTCTTGGTTCGGAGCGCTCTTGCAACTGTGGCCAGTGGAGAAATGTACAATCCGATCGTCGTTCCGATTGTGATAAAGCCCAGCGTCGTGCTGATGGACGACTTTGACTGACCCGTGACCCCAGTCAACGCGAGGACGCTGTACGTGGCCACCAAAATACATACAACGAAGGAGACGGCGAAGACCCTAAGCACTGCGCGCTTGTCGTCTGCCCAGCGGTAGAAGAAGACGGCGAGGAGCCCCCCCCCCCCACGACGACTCCAAGCGCCGACGTCGTGAATAAAGGCACCATATCGTCGATCAAGTACGCGTAGAACAGCAGCGCGAAACCGTGAGTGAACAGCAAGACGCACGGTATCACGGACTTGTCGCCAGTGCTCCGCTGCTGGCGCATCCGCTGGAAGTCCGGGAGTAGCGAAACTCACATGATAATGGTGGTTGTCACGGTCAGCACCTTGACCACTGTAACAGCAGTCAGTCATCCCCTTGTTCCTGACGTGAATGATCTCCAGGTGAATTGATAAAGTGCCATGAACGATCAAAAGCACTGAGTACACTCATTATTTATGACAGTACTCGTTCACACACGCTGATGCCATGCACTTGTTTCCTGCTATATTTGTTGAGTGGAGCATCAACACTGGTTTCTAGACACCGCAGGAAACTTTAAAAGTAGTGGAAAAGAAGAAAAAGAAAAAAAATGCTTGGAAATTCAGCACTTCATCTCGACATGCTTTTTTTTTCTAGGGTAATGGTCACTCCTGTCTGTCCATTGATCCCGCACCTGTATCGCGGTGACATGGAGAACGCATTGCCACAAAACTTGAAGTCTTCTGGCAACTGACAGCGTCTACTGCATCACCGCCATTGTTTTGGTCGGGTTGAATAGCCATAACATCCACCACCACATCTCGAATATCCTCATCGCTTGACGTGGAGACCATCTGCTCCTCTCTCGGCTCCTTGCTCCTGTAGATGTACGTGACGATCATTTGCGTGGCGCTGAGCGACACTCTGACGATGTTCGGCGCCAACAGAAACATGTTGTGAACGAGGGCGCCGTAGACGCCCCAGCAGAAGCTGTTGAGCACATTCACGACGCCCATCGTGAACGGCATCGAAGACGCAGTCTTGGTCCGGATCACCCTCACGATGGTGGCCATCGGCGACGCGTACATCAACGTCGTGGTTCCAATAGTGACAAAGCCTAGCGACGTCCCAATCGAAGATTTTGACTGACCCGTGATCCCACAAATGGCGAGAACGGCGTAGAGCGTTATCGCCAGACACACGAAGAAGAAGACCACGAAGACCCTCACTACTTGACGTTGGTCCGCAGCCCAGAGGTAGAAGCAGTAGCCGAGGAAGACCCCCACCACAACACCAAGGACCGACGTCGCGAAGAGGGGGATGAAGTCGTCGATGGCGTACGCGTAGAACAGCGACGCGTACGAGTTGCCGAAGATGAGGACGCACGGTAGAACGGACATATCGCCGGTGTTTCGGTTCTTCCGCCAGCGGTTCCAGTCCGGGAAGAGCGAGACGCGCATCATGAGCGTCGTGATGATCGTCACGACCTTGGATACAGTCACGGCGGTGTCGTATGCGCTCATTTTGTCTGGTAGTCGGTGTCTGTTGTGTGCGCTTGGACGCAAGTATAGGAATGCCTGGATAGATCGATTTCGTTAAGTAGGAGAGCCTCGTGCATATCTTTGCGGGGCGGTCTTCATGCGGTAAAACCGCTTCGGGTGTGATGCACGGGTGGTCTTCACTTGGAAGGTCTCGATCGAGGCAGATGACCACGGTGTATACACGATCCGGCGATGACCCGAGACGGCTCGTCGTGAGCTTGTAGAGGCGCGATGAACGCCCTCCCAACCAATCGATCTACACACCGATCTTGAAGTTGCACCGGAAAAGGGAAGCGGCAGTAAGGTCGCTACGAGCAGCACTAAAGCAGAATAAAAAGCTGACGAAATTCAGCGATTTCCTTACACTCTTCAAGCATCGAAAACCTGCCGATTCCTCACTCTCAACTTGGGTGAACGATACTTTTGCTACAGTCTGGCGAGTGTAGCTCGACAAAGCTCTGGCTTTTGCAGCTCTCCGATGCCACGCAGCTCTGCTTTTGGCCAGTTGAGCAGACTTCAATTGAAAATTCAGTCAAGACACGCAGATCTTCGATCGACACAGATTCAACATCCTCATCCTGGTGTGTCTTCTCCTTATAAATGTACATGAGAACCATTTGAGTGGAGCCCAGCACGATTCCCCCGATGTTCGGTGCCAGGATAAACATATTGCCGACCAAAGATGAGTAGAGGATCCAGCCGACGCTGTTCAGCACGTTCACGACGCCCATGGTGAAGGGCATTGACGACGCCGTCTTGGTCCGGATCACCCGCACGATCGTGGCCATTGGAGACGCGTACAGCCCGATTGTCGTTGCGATTGTAATGAAGCCCAGCGTTGTACTGATCGATGAGTGAGACTGCTGTGTCACTCCAGACAACGCGAGGGCGCTGTATGCTGTGATGGATTAAGTCGGTTACTTTGTCGAATTCAGAAGGCACGATCAAATTTTCGGGCATAAAATGAATAGAAACTCGCTGACTCTAAAGCTGAAATCTTCATTGGAATCGATCGAACTTGCTGTTTAGCTAGAATTGTTGTTGCCAAGCAGACAAAAATGTGTCTATTTTGCTTTTGTTAGAAACAAATACAGACAACGACGGAAAAAGCCCCGTAACGAAAAATTCCGCGCTGCGTTCAGCTTCAAGAGTTTTACCTTGGCACTGGAGCAACTGGGGCGCGCTTCGCGTGCGGGTCTCTAAGCGGACCGAACAATTTTGTGTTTTTTGCTACTAAAACGGTTAGGACGCGCCGCGCCTCAGCGCCAGTCTGCACTTGTTACTGTTATTAACATTATCACCAATATTTTTGTGAGTACTATACATGAAACGATTCATATTACTACAAGAAACTTAAAATTTCATACTATTATAATTGATGTTGACCAGGGGTATGAATAAAACAATTCAATATGAAAATTGTCAATTAATATGACGAAAATATGTGTTATTGGCAAGCGCCATATTGAAATTTGTATTATTGGCTCGTACGATTTCAGGGTATTCAAAAACACAGTCAAGGCGCATGGAATTGAAATATTTAATCAGTATAATAATTAGCTTTGGTTATCGTCATATTTAAATCATTATTACTGTCAAGAAATTTTACCAATTCAATATAATACTGAATTGGAGGGGCCCTGATGTTGACAACATCATGTTGCAATTGGTATTTATTGCAACTGCCACTGTCGCCACCACTGCCATGCTACAGCTACTGCGGCTGCTACTGTCACTGCTACTACCACTGCTTCAGCCACTGTCACTGACACTGGGCACTATCGCTGCTGCTCCTACTCCTACCTCATCACGACTTATATTGCTATACTACTCATATTCCACTATTGTTAAAGATATTGCATTTGTTATGCTACCTGTGGCGCGCGTTACTGCTGGTCACAGGCACTATCTGCTTACCACTACTGCAACTACAGCTGGAGCAGCTGTACTACAGCTACTACATCTACTATTTCACTAATGTTAATGATGTCATAGTAATGTTGTCATTGATATTGCTTGTTCGTATCTGCTGCTATCGCTACTGCGACTGTTTATTATCTGCTGCCACTACCGCTACCGTTGTTATTTACGCTACAACTACGATCTCAGCATTGATAATGGCACTGTAATGATATTGCTCCTGCTTTCTTTTTCATGCCTGAGAAAGACTGCCAAAATCTACTCCATACTGCTTGGCTTGCTGCATAATATCACGGGGCATTTCATGGCTTGCTCAAACTAAATTTATAAGTAGATGCCATCTGAATATCGCCGTCCACCGTGGTGAAAACGACGCGATCCAAACATTATCGATGATCTTATCGTCCTCTAGACCCTTGTAAATCACTCTCCTCTTTTCCAAATAATGTGTGTGACTTGTATTGCTGCGTAAGTAATACCAATATGACGTATTGTGTCTTTCACGTATTTTGGCGGGTGAGCTGTTAATTCAGGCGGAATTAGAGTCATAAAAGGGTGATCAACGCTTATTTAGTACTAATTATGCCTAAGATTGTGAGCGCTTCCCCTAACATCCGCGATCAGCTAATCGACGGAGATACGAGCAGAATGGCATGGATTGGCGGATAGGAAACCGCCAATCGCTCTGTTTCCGCCTATTAATAGCGAAGGCTAGATTAGCTTATTCCGCCTTGAGTCGGCCTCACCATCGCCGCTCCTAATTCGGCCACGGAGGGACGACCCGGAATTAACATGGGAATTAGCTAACTCGGGGCATAATTAAGGTCGATAACGGATTAGAGTTATGCCAGAATTATCACGGCAGAATAAGTGAAAGGCACAATAATTTTTATTCGGTATACTGCTATTGGAATTGTTCGCCTGCGTCACGATCACTGCCAGCCACCACTGCAACTGCCCTACTGTCAATGCCACTGCTACTGCAACCGCTATTAGTTACTGACTTTGAAACTGATATTGTTATCGCTATTTCTGTTACTATCTTTTTTTTGCTCACCCCACGATCAGGAAGAAAACTGTCAAGGTCTACAGTACTCCATGGTGCGTGAGTTGTTGCAACCCAGTATAATGTCATCCAACGAGACTTCTTCGCGAGCCGCACCTAGTAAAATACCTCTATTTTTACGAACTACATCTGCAGTTTACACGTTACTGCAGTTATAAAGTACGCGGTGCAAATTGGCGCTAATTTCGCTGCGCCATGCGTTCATATTGCTTTACTTAGGTTCTTGCTGCAGCAACATCACGCCCATCTAATCGAGCACTCTAAAGTGCACCACCATGGACTTGTCCGTCTATATCAATGTAGATACTGGTACTCAATATGATGCGACGTCCAGAAAACACTACGCATACTACTGTGGTGCGACGTCCGGACACTGCATACACTACTGTCGCGCCATGCGCACTCCGTTTTGGATTCCGCAGCCTGCATGAGCCCCAACGTCGCACAGTACCACAGTATGCATCGTAATGGTGGGTGTGAACTAAACCGCACATTTTGTTTTGCTTAATTAAGTTTTATTCCAAATCCAAAACCACGTCAAAAGCATCGATCCGGACGCTGCGCTGCTTTATACCGGTAATACCATGAGATTTTGGATACTCTAGTTCATATTAAAATGTACCGAATGTATTAAACTGATGGTCTGACAAGAAATGACGCTGGCTCTAAGCTATCCGCTTAGAGAATTGAACTTGCCTACACTACGTTAGCACCAGCAGAATGACAGGGAAAAATGTCAAAAATGTGCTCATCGTGACATTAATCTAACTGTGTGGGCGCACTTATGTTCACATTCTAGGCCACCTCCTACAAGTGCCAAGGGGTGAATTTCTCCTTCAACACCGACGATACCACCGGTGAACGTTCTCAGCTCTGAATCCATTGGCTCAACGGGAGTCGAACGTCGCCTCAACTTCCGAGACAGGTCGTTCTCCGTAGCCTCAGATCTGAATTTCCCTCCCAAGCCCCCACACACCTTCGCTATGAGTGGCCAAGGCCCCGTTCTCATCGCCGTCAAGGTGTAAACGATCATCACAACCGTCCTGATGCGTTTCTCGCTGGTGCCGGACTTCGTGCGGATGGGGAAGCAGAAAAGCACAGGGGATATGTCGGTCATGGCTCTTCACGAACTGCTATGCGCTGGCGTTCTACTCCTACGTGATCGACGATATCGTGCCGCTGTTCGCTACATCAGTGCTGGGTGTCGTCGTTGGGGGCGTTCTCGCTGTGTTATTCTACTGCTGGACCAGCCACAAGCGCGAGGTAGTGAGGGTCTTCGTCGTCGCCTCCTGCGTCTGTCTATCCAAGTTGATAGACATTCCCCCTGGCAAACAATTTTTCTAAACGTCACCCTTCCGTCCTTCCAGTGACTTACCATTTATTCGTCAGTTTTATCCACTCCACTACCTCGTACAACTACCTCGAGCTGGATATGAAGCTCATCGTGGACTGGGGAGCTCAGTGCGACGAAGCCTGGGCTCTTCTCGCTGGCCGAAGAGAAAATCTTTTTCTCCTGATCGGGCGATAGGACTACAACCGAGACCTTGCCCTCACCCCCTACCTCTTCCATCGATTCGGGGCTCTTCCATCGATGCACGTATGTCAGCACCAACTGTGTGCAGCCCAGTATAAACCCCGCGATGTTTGGTCCCAGTTGTCAATCAGAGCGGCGTAGGTCCCCCAGCAGAAGCTGTTGAAGACATTCACGACCTCCATCGTGAAGGGCATTGACGATGCAGTTTTGGTCTTGAGCACCCGCGCAAACGTAGCCATTGGCGACACGTAGAGACCGAGAGTCGTTCCGATGGTAATGAAGCCCAAAGTCGTGCTGGTGGACGCGTCCGATTGCCCCGTGTATCCCGTTAGCGCGAGCACACTGTATGTTGTCACGAGAACACACACAATGAGAGATCCGATGAAGGCGTTAACGACGCCGCGTTTGTCCACTGCCCAGCGGTAGAAGAAGTAGTTGAAGAAGACCCCCGTGACGATCCCCAGTATCGACACTGCCAACAGCGGCAGAATGTTGTCGATAGCGATAGCGTAGAACATGACGGCGTAGCAATTCGTGAAGAGAAGGAGACACGGCATCACCGACATGTCGCCCGTGCTGTGGTTCTTGTGCATTCGTCGGAAGTCTGGAAGCAGCGAAACTCGAAGCATTAGCGTCGTGCCGAGTGTCAGCCACTTGAAAACGTCGATGGCAAGTGCGTGGGCACTCATCCTGCAGGGGTATGGCTTGGTCTCGAAGCGATGCTTGTGGACTTGAAGGCGAATTTGGATATGACTCGATGTTCGCTCGAGTCGCTCGTCCGTTGCCAACCAAACAAGGAGATTAACGATCAACGATCGCCGAAACTTTCGCACTTCAGGAAGGGCACAGTTAGGGGCAGAAGGGAGCGGAAAATCGCATTGCCTTTGGAGCCAAGCGTTTCTAGTTTCACATGTTGACGTTACCTGCACTCGAAGTCTCTGACTGCCCGCCAAAACGAAGATCGAAGATCTTGTCGTTTCTGTTTTTTTATTTGAAATAATGCAAATGATATTGCGATCGAGGCTAACAAGATCGATTAGGCTCATCTAATGCCATTTTTTTATCAACTGCTGCTACTTTGATATCCATAAAACCCACCACGTCGTAGTACTTACTACACCGCTACTTCATATTTCTCTCCACGATATGTTCTCTTCACGACTAGAAGAGCGGATCGCAACAAATATCAAGCTCTTGAAACTATTCGCACAACTCAACTTAATTGCCCTCCTTCATTTTCAATACGAGAAAATACCAAAATGCACACTGCAGACTCGTCGCGTAGCTCCTCAATTGCACAATCTGAATCCCGTTCGAGTCCTCGCTTCGCTAAGTGAACGTGATGATCAACTGGACGGAGTCCAACGTTTAACCCCGCGATCACTGTGGTGATCATTGGGGGTCCATATTGTGGTAAAGCCCATTGTATTGTACTAACCGTCGACGATCCTGATTGTTCATGGCTCCAGTAAATGCTTGGGCGCTATATATCGCTACCGGGGCGCACACAACGAATATGGCGAACCGCGGCAACATGTCGATGACGTACGTGTCGTTCAGCAGCGCGTAGCTGTTGGTGTAGAGTAGAATACAGGGCATGATCGGCATGGCGATTCTGGCGCCAGCACTCGGGCATGAGCGATAGTCACATCAATAGTTAAAACCCTGGCGAAGATGACAGTCGTCTCGTGGCGCTCGTGGCGTTAAACGAAGGTTCTTCAGCGGGCTGCATCTCGAAGATAAATTATGAAGTGGCGGCGAGCTCCAGGGCTTTCGGCGGCTTGGATCCCCCCACTCGTCCTTTGGTGATGCAAAATGCATCTCGGATCGATCTGAACTCAGTGCACTAATGGCAAAGAGTGATTCAGGACCACTGTATAAGGCGAGGAGCGTCGCAGTCCCGGGGCAAGTTCAGCAGAAACAAAATGTGCGAGGGTTCACGTTCAGTACGTTTAACTGTGGCTCGGCCGAAATGATAGTAGTGCTACACACTAAAATGCTTGTCTGTATTTTTTTACGATAGCGCTAGCAAAGCTCATTGCGAGCGAGCAGGTTTCTTGTGATTGCCAGCCAACTTGGCTGAGCCAAGTCACCTGAAGATGTTGCGACCAGCGAAATGCCACCTATGTGAGACATGAAACCCGATTGCGCGCCACTGACCGAGTGATTGCTCGCCAGAAACACCAAAATGCTCGGCACGGCCATCCGTAACTACGCACAGCTCGTCGCTAGCCACGATCTGAACGGGGATGGCAACAAGATCGTCAGCTCCATGCCCTTCAATGTGACTCCGGAACTTCTTTAACCGCGTGTGCTGGATCGCGTACGCGACCATCGTCTAGAATCTGTTTTTTTGCTGATTCCAACACCGTCAGAGGCGTTCTCACGTCCATCCAACTCGCACTACAAAGCTGGCAGAGCCTCGCTGTCCGGTACGCTGTGGGTCCGGGGTTTGAGGGCGAACTCGCTCTGAAGAACAGCGCGCAAGGCTTCGTAGTTATCAAGCCACTGGCAGCGGCGCGGGTGTAGCCAGGAAGCAAGCAGGCAATGTAGGTGCTGCCACACACACACCAGCAAAGGCAACACCGGACATACAACTTTGTATAGCCAGAAGAACTTGCGCGCCATCGCCAGCGTGTTAACCTTCAGAACGTCGAACCGTGTTTCAGGTGATTGCTCTGAGGTGCATCACCATTGTGCGGTTAGGGACGGGGAATTGTCGCTCTCTGATTGGTTAATAACCGCGTCCGAAGCGACATTGGAGACACTGATGGCGCGCCAGTTAAGTCGCTGATTGCGCGCAGTCGTCGATTGGACGGAGCGTTGACCACTGCAATCGTACGTACGCTGGTCATTATCCTTCTTGCAGTCTTCAATCCATACCCCACAGTATCTGCATCAATATCTGACAGTCATGGGCGCGCTGGAGGCCACGTTCCAAGTGCTGACGGTCATCTCGTCCATCTTCGTGCGGGTCGCGCCATGGCCCGACTTCCAGCGCGTATACAGGGCCAAGAGCACGGGCGAGGTGCAGATCCTGCCCGTAGTCATGCTCTTCACCAACTGCGTCGTGCTGGTCTGGTACGGCTACCTGTCCGAGGACATCTTCCCGCTCTTCGTCACGGCGGTTATGGGGCTGATCACGTGCGGAGGCTTCATTGCGGTCTTCTACCGCTACACGGACGACAAGCGCTCGGTACACCGGATCTGCGCTGCGGCCTTGGCGGTTATAGTGCTCGTGTGCTTCTACGGGGCCATCGGCGTTGCAGGCGTCACGAGTCAGTCGAAATCGTCGATGGCGACGGCCATGGGCGCCATCTCCATCGGCACCTCCATTGGGCTGTACGGGTCTCCGCTCGCCACCATTCAACGAGTCATCCGCACCAAATCCACGGCCTCGATGCCCTTCACGCTGTGCCTGGCCAACTTCTTCAACAGCGTGTGCTGGGTCGTCTACGCCATCATCGTCGTGGACGTCTGGGTGCTGCTGCCCAACGCCTTCGGCTGCGTGCTCACGACGATCCAGCTGACCCTCTACGCCATCTACCCGCAGCTCCAGTCCGTCATGATCGACCACACCGGAGCTATGACCACCGACTACGAGCGCCAGGCCTCGATTTCTGTTGTCATCACCACCAACACGCAGGAAGGAGAGCGCCTCGCTCGGAAGAGCAGCCTTGACCACAAAGATAGCATCGACTTTGTCGCGATAAAGTCCCCCATGACGCGCCAACTGTCCTCCGTCAGTCGCCACTAGGCTACCAAATACCCCCGATTAACTGTAATAAAGTCAAGCACGCACAGACTGCTTGCTTCCGTTAAAACCGACGTTGAAGTTGCTCTGACGTGGCGAGAGGATTGCGCGCCACCGTCGCCGACGATTGCTCGGAGGTGATATCCGAATAATGGATCGGTTTGCTGGAGTTTTGGCATGGCCGCGCGCCGCTCTGCTCGGTTCGAGAGCTGGAACTGGGGTCATTATCGCTTGAGCTTCGTCGAGCACAAGCAGACCAAGACAATAGAGACCACATCGCCATGAGCGCAGTTCAGAGCGTCTTCCAAGTACTGTCGATCGCCACGGCCGTCTTCGTGCGGTTCTCGCCCTTGCCGGACTTCCGACGCATCTACGCGGCCAAGAAGGTGGGCGAGGTGCAGATCCTCCCGGTCGTGACGCTCATCACCAACTGCGTGGTGCTGGTCTGGTACGGCTACCTCTCGGACGACATTTTCCCGCTGCTGGCCACGGCGGTGCTCGGACTGATCACGTGCTCGGGCTTCACGCTTGTCTTTTACTACTACACAGACGACCGTCAAGCGGTGCACAGGATTCTGCTCTGGGCGCTGCTCTTCATCGTGCTGGTGTGCGTGTACGGCGCGCTCGGCGTCTACGGTCTGACTGGCCAGTCCGACGACTCCGTGGGCACAGCGTTCGGAGCCATCTCGATCGTCACGTCCGTGGCGCTGTGTGGGTCTCCGCTGGCCACGACCCGCCGCGTGGTGCGAGAAAAATCCACGGCGAGCATGCCCTTCACGCTGTCACTGGCCAAATTCACGAACGGCGCGGTCTGGATCGTGTACTCGGTCATGATCAAGGACATCTGGGTCTTCATCCCGAACGTCATGGGCTTCGTGCTCTCGTCGGTTCAAATGGCCATCTACGTGATATATCCGAGCGCTGGGGAGGGTGAGCTGCAGCCTGAGACTGCAGTCGTGTATCCAGCGTCGGACGACGAAGCTTCGTTCTCGATCGTTATCACCACACCTGGCAAGGAGAAGATCGACCGGAAGGACAGCCTCGAGTTTGTAGCCATCCGCTCGCCGTCCACACGCTGCTTGTCGTCGGTATCCATTGAGCGCCACTAGCCCAGCTTGCCATGTAATAAATACACTGGTTAAGCCTTCCCACCACACGAATGCTTGAGGAGACTGCAACACACGAATGGCTTGACATTCATAAGCATCGCCTTTATCATCCCATGGCTCGAGCACCACGAACTCCTTGCTCTGCTGGCCAGAATTCCCCAAGGGAGCGTCATTTGGCAGCACAACAGACGCGCGGGTGATGCAGTGGCTCCCCCCACTCAACGCCCTACCTTCACCGTCGAGTGGTCGAGTCGAGCGTGCTCCACGCATCCCTGATAACCGCTGGCCCCATCTATAAATCGGTTGGCTTCAGCACGCCGCTCTCATCTTCTCGTGGCACGCACGACCTGCGAAATGCCAGCGTCCATTGCGGCCCCAGTCATTGGTGCTGATTGGATGACCACTGCACATCCTCCTAGAGTCAAACCCGATTCGTACATACCCGTCGATCGAGGGCACCCTCTCACATCACCACAGTATCGAATTTTCCTCCTCGAGCGCATTCCGTTCTCCGTCTATACCACGAACGGCCATGAGCGGGCACGAGACGGCGGTGATCGTGGCCAAGGTGCTGACCATCATCACGACCATCATGCTGCGCATCTCGCTCATGCCCGACTTCAACCGCTGGCGCCGGAACCGCAACACGGGGGACATGTCGGTCATGCCCTGCGTTCTACTCTACACCAACTGCTACGCGCTGCTGTACTACGCGTACGCCATCGACGACATGCTGCCGCTGTTCGCCACGTCGGTGCTGGGTGTCGTGGTAGGGGGGATCCTGGCCTACTTCTTCTACCAGTGGACGGACTTCAAGCGTTCTACCATGCGGATCTTCGTCGGATCTTTCATCGTGTGCGTGATAGTGACGATCTACGGCTGGCTGGCTCTCACGGGTAGAACGGGTCAGACCCGACACGAAGTGGGCACTACCATGGGCTTCATCACCATTGCAACTACCGTCGTCATGTACGCGTCCCCCATGGCGACTATCGTGAGGGTAATGCAGACCAAGACGGCGTCGTCGATGCCCTTCACGATGGGGATCGTGGTCGTCATGAACAGCTTCTGTTGGGGATTCTACGCTGCGTTGGTGGGCAACGCCTTCATCCTCGCGCCCAACATCGCGGGGTTCACTCTGGGTGTCATCCAGCTGAGCCTCACCTTCATCTACCCGCGGGCGGCACCCAAGGACGCCGTCACGGTAGAAGGTTATACCGATGAAGCAGCGCTGTCCGTTGTGGTGCTCTCCCCGATCCAAGATGGGGAGAATGAGAGGAAGCTGAGCTCCGTGGACGGCAGGAAGAGCCCGAGGTTTGTGGCCATGCGCTCACCCACGCGAGAGGAGACGCGGTCCTGGAGGGAGATGAGGACGAGCGGCAGACAGCAGTGAGGGAGGGGTCGTGGTAGCGAATTGTAATCGGATTTTTTTAAAGTTAATTCATTCCTTTGAAGTACGTAGCGCTTTAGTCCTAATTTCTCGTCAGCTTTTGCTTCTTCGCAGCTTTGTGTTGGGTTGCTTCCGCCTTCCTCTTTCCTGGTACATACCAGTCTCCAATCTCAACGAAAACGACGACTTTACCGCCGCCACTTTCACTTGAATCATCGCTGACACGAGACTTGGCCTGCATGAGCTTCTCGAACTCCGACAAGACGCCGTCTCGCGGTAACAGTCGGCGCCCTGCAGCTTGGCCCTCACTACAAGTCCCGATGCAGCTGAGACGCCATTGCTCGCTGATTCTCCAGTGGCTGCGGAGCCTAGGGTCGATTCGCTGGAAACGTAGCTGCTGCACAGCTTCTCCGCTACCACCAAGTGAATGGATGTGCAGTCTGGCACATTCATCAGGACGCGCTCGAGCTCGTCCAACTCCAAAGCCCCCCGGTGATCCAGCCACTCCCCAGATAAAATGTATCACCCGTCAACATCGCTCGAAGCGAATCGAGAACAATCTCCGTCTATAGAGCTAGTTTTAATTCGGCGCATGTTGGCGAATTGCGCTCCGCTGTCCTTCCATCCCTCCAAGAATTCCTTCGGCCACTCTGTTGCAAATATGGTGGCCCTCTCCCCCTTTAGCTTGTAACTCGCGCAGAATCTCTTGCTGGGCTGCCACAAATTTGGTCGCTGTCGCTGGAAGCTCGTCTGGCAGGTGCAAATCAGCAGGTAGGCGAGGTTCATAGCCCAAGTCAGCACGGAATGGACTCATCTGGATTGTAGCTTGATATTGACGGTTGTAAGCGAACTCTGCCAAAGCTAGGTGCTTGTCCCAGTCGTTCTGGAAGCCGCTCACATAGTGACGCAGGTAAGTAGCTAGCACAGCATTGAGTCGTTCAACTTGTCCATCCGTCCGCTGATGGTGAGCTGACGCCATCTTCAGTTTAGTTCCCCCGGAAAATCTCCTGGACTCTTGCATCCTGGCATCAATCGGCATGGCCTTTATTACGGGGCTTCCAGCTACTACAACAGAGCAGGACACTATTCTCGTTGTCGTCGATCGACTCACGAAAAGAGCGCATTTTATCCCGGCAACATCAACAATTACGGCTGAAGAGCTAGCTGCGTTGTTTGTGGAACAGTACGTGCGATTACATGGGCTTCCTGTGGATATCGTATCTAACAGGGATCCAAAATTTACGTCTAAGTTCTGGAGTGCTTGTGCCAAGATCCTGGCGCCGCTTGTTGCGCTGGCACGACTCACAGGTTGCAATGTACGCACGTACAGTCTTGTGCATCCGCTTCCAGTAATATCTAGCGTGGATCTCTCCGATCGTCTTCTCTACCCCAGGATGTCCCGCCGTAGCAACATCGTGGTACTCCCAGAGAATAGTATTGCGCATTTCAATGTCATCAGCTGGAATCACAATTCGCCGAGATCCGTCGGGTTTGTAGTGATATACCAGCATTTGTTCCTGGTCGTACCTCAACTTCTCCGAGCTTATTTCGTTGAGAGCTGCTTCTGTCCACCCCGCTCGGCGTTGCGACCGCCGAATCAACGTTAAGAGCGTGAGGGGCTTGAGACGCGATACTGCATGCATCTGCTTCTGCTTCTGCTGCTCAAAGTCGACCTCGAAATCCGGACGACGACTCAGTGCGTCCGCTACGATATTTGTCGATCCAGGGATATACTTAAAACGTAAGTTGAACTCGGCTAGCAGATCGTACCAGCGGCATATCCGTCGATCAATCTTTTTCTGGGTCAGCACCCGCTCAAGCGAGTGGTGATCCGTTTCGACGGAGCAACCTCCATCCACGAGATACACTCTCCAAATGTTTAGGCAGTGGATAATGGCCAGCATTTCCTGTTCGTGAGTGGGATAATTGAGTTCTGCAGCCTTCATTTTTCTTCCGCAGAACGCGATCAGCTGCTCGACCTCCTTCTCTTCAGGAGCCGTTCTCTTGCATTTGATATAGAACTCCGCCCACTGCGAACCGCGACGCATCCGTCCTCAAGTAGAAAGGCTTGCTAAAATCTGGCAACGCGAGCACTGGTGTTTCGCTGAGAGCAACCTTGAGCTGTTCAAATGCCCGGCCGCTCTCCGACGACCATTCAAGGTGTCTTTTCTCCTTGCTTTTGATCATGTTAAACAATGGAGCACTAATTTCCGAGTAGTCCTTGCAGAATCTCTGGACATACACGGTCGTTCCCAGGAAAGACTGCAATTCTTTGGCTGTCTTTGGGCGTGGCCAGCTCCGAATCACGCGAACTTTGTCGGGGTCAATCCTAACTCCACGTCGACCGACAAAATCGCCGAGGCACGGTATTTCGTCCGAGCACAGCGTCGACTTCGCGAGTTTTAGGTAGAGTTTCTTGTCTCGACAGCGCTCGACCACCTTCCGAACTGCAGCGAGATGTGACGCCAGGGCTGGCTCCTTGGTAAACACGTACAAATCGTCAAAATACGTGGCCACGAAGTCTCGCATGTCCTCAAAGATCCCTTGGACAATGCGGTTAAAGGTTGCAGGCGCATTACTGAGTCCAATGGGCACTGCGAGATACTCGAACAGACCGTCAGGCGTTGAAATGCTGTGAACGGAATATCCTTTAGACGCATCCGAATTTGATAATACCCCGAGAGCAAATCGAAACAACTGTACCAGTACGCCCCACTCATGCGGTCGAGAATGACGTCCTTGCGCGGCATCGGTGTCGATTGCCGGACTGTTCTCGTGTTCATAGCCCTGTAATCATGAACTATGCGCCACCCAACCGGTTTCTTGATACAAAACGTTGGGGCCGCGTGAGGAGACTTGCTCGGTCGAATCAGCTCTGCTCTCAGCATTACTTTCGTCCACTCGCGCAGCCCACGTTCTTGATCAGGACTCAGCCGCCATTGCGCAGTATAAATCGCTCGTTGCGGGTCGATTACCTCCATCTCGTGCTCACCATGCTGAGGCGGGCCGACAGGAAGTTCATCACGGAAAATGGTTGGAACGAACTCTTTTAGAAGTCCATAGCCTGGATTATCTTTGAAGCTGTCCATATCCGTCGTCTGCTGCCGCTGAGCTTTGTCGGTTTGTTTCTTGCTGACTCCGTGAGCTGCCCCGCTACTCCCAGCTTGCTCATTTAGGACTTCCTGGTTGAGTGCGTTAATTGTCTCGGGTGGGATGAGTGCGATGAACTCCACGTCTTTCTGCCGCACGAGCTTGTCAGCTTTCTTGAAATTAATTACCTTCGTCATCCCGAATTACATGCAGTAGTGATAGCTTCTACCCACGTGCTCGCTCTTCGGTGATGGGCTTCTTTGACGAACTCCTCCTTTGTATACACGCGATCTGTCTCCCAGTCGATAACAGGATTCCGCGTGCGCTTCCAGGGTACGCCCAGCATCAATTCGCACTGGTTAGGAATGTGACAGAGCTGGAAGTCCGCTGTATAACCTGGGATATTGTCGACGAAGACTGTCAGCTTGATCGTTTGATTTCTGATCGATTCCGTCTTGCCGTTTGCGTAGGTCAGCTCCATCGACCCCAAGTCTTTTACGTACTGACCCCAGTTCATTTTCTCCACATACTCCATTGAAACTCCCCTTCGTCAAAGAATGTCTTCGCAATCTGAATCTCGTCTTCACGAACGCAGCTAGCGTTTTTTTATCAAATACGTTGCTGGTAGCGGCTTCTCCTCGGTACGCCGCTGGAAGTAGAGCGAATTAACCGCCGTACCAGGGTCAAAGACCCAATTCTCGCAGCTACTAGTGGCTGTGTTGGGCCTTAGGACGTTATCCCTATGGCCAGCTAGTTTAACCCCTTGGTTCCCGACGTCGTAAGTTCCGACTTTGCCGAATCTCAATGTCGTATAATACAACATAGCTCGATTAACAAAAGCATTTGGCTCGAAACGAGATTGCTATACTTTAATCAAGTTTATTTTCGTCGGCAAAAGTATAAGCAAGAGAGGTAAAAATCAGATTTGCACAAAAACACGGATATAGAGCTGTCATCAGAGATGGGTTGTGCATAAGCCGGGGCCGGCTAATGGGGCATTTTGTATAAAGACGAACATCCCCTTTTAAGGTTTGCGCGAGTGCCCACTTTCAAGCAAACACAACAGCGACCTTGAAGGGGAGAGTAAGGCGTATGCGGCTGTCAAGAGCTCCCACGAGCTCGTAGAATAGCTTCTAAACGCCCGTACACACAATAAACAAGAAAATGATAAAAAACCATGGATGAAATGGCGCCCAAATAACTCTCCAAGGGTTGTAGCTGCTATTTCCTCGAGTTTAGGTGCCGAGTACACGTAAGTAAGTATAACCGGAAGTAGACTATGTCTGCCGAGACTTCTAACACGAAGAAATATTTATTTGCAGCCTTATAACAACTGTACGGTGTAGCTGGTTTTGGCAGCGACAGTGTTGCAGCGTATTTCGCGCCACGTAAATGCCGGATTGGAAGCAAGGGCATGGAGTAGTGCGTAAATAACCTTGATCGTGCGTACATCCCACAATGACCTCTCCCAATAACTAAACTAAGATGACGAGAGTATCCTACTACTAACCAACTTAAGCACGATGTATACTTCGGTATCGCCGAGAACGACGGAGGTCTGGCTCGTACGAGTGTCATCAACTAGTCAATCCGACCATAACGCCTTATTTGTGCGTATAGAGATCCTCTTCGGCTGCTTTGACAGTCTCCGTGTACGAGGCGGTTTCTATAGTACGCGAAGCCCGAGTGCCGCTACCGGTGCGGCCACCCTCGAGAGCAGCATCAATATACCTGCTGCGAATTAGAATAACCGTGGTAGGCTTAAACTTTTTCTAGGAACGGTAAAACGAAGCAATTTCGGCATTGCTTCAGCGTTCCGGATTGAGAAAAGCCGTCGGTGTAGGACGTTGCCTCAGCAACAACACTCTATAGAAGTGGGCGAGCTGTAGGGCAGATATCCTAAAGCTGACAAACAAAGCGAAGAAGTGAGCTGCTTCTACGGTTATAGAACTGCTTTAGCACTGACATACAAAGTAAGTCAGCACTCCAAGTACCCTTTTGTTGGTTGTAGCGATTACCCATTTTTCTTGAATGGGATACGGTTCCCCATTATCTGACCTGTGCATAAGTGAGAGGGAAAATGTTTTGATTGGCTATATATTGATGATTTGGTGATTACAACCTCGCAATCATCTATCAACACCGAGAAAGATGGATGTTTTGTGTAGTTCACCAATCCTATTGATCCACCATCTGGGATTAGTATGCACTCGATCTACGTTCAATGTCGTAAGTTCCCCCCATAGATCTCTACAATCTTATATTTCTGATGGGGCTTCTCTTGTTACGGACAGGGCGCGCCAATACAAACTCGTAGTTTCTTTTTTCGTCGTAAGTTACGACATACAGTACCGTAGATTACGTGTTTCGGTGCCTAAATCCCGGGAACCAAGGGGCTAAATCCCCCTTGAGCTTCGCAATGTCGCTCTGGATCATGCTGAGAACAGACCACAGCTTCTTTTTTTTTGTTTTGGATACAGCCGCAGCACCTTTGCCCTTGTTCTTGTTGTTGTCTTTCAGCCATTTCGGTTTCAGCTCGGGGTGTAGCATCCAGCAGCGCTCTTTAGTATGCCCCTTCTCCGTGCACCACGACGACGTGCACTTTGCTGCGTCCATCTTCTTATCCTGCTTTGGAGGGAAGGACTTGCTGCTTTTGCTGCTTTTATCATTCGATCGAGCGACTTCGCGTGGGTTCAGCGTGCACGAGGCTTCAATTAGCTCGTCGAGCGTGTCGAACGACTTCGTCTTGAGAAGATGCAGCAGTTGCACAGACGATAGTCCCTGTTTGTATCGAAGTATCTTGATATACTCAGAGACGCCTGCCGTGCGTGCTAGCCGGGGAAATTCATCATTGTACGTGTCCAACGAACGATAGCCTTGCGCGCAACTAAAGAATTGAGCCACCAAATCTTCTTGGTGGGAGCGTGTCACGAATCGTTGCTTCATCTTGCGGACGATGTGGCTCCAGCGCTGTTCACCGTGATATTCCCGGAGAAACCAGTCCTTTGCTTTCCCTTGGGTGTGGTTCATCACAAGTTCTCCGACGCGATAATCGACCTGCTCCTGATGAAAATATAGGCCGAACGCTGCGTACCACTTGATCATATTGAGGACATAGACTTCAATATCCTCACTTGTTTCACCGCTGTAAATTGGAGCTTCATGTTGTCGGATGCAAGTCGCTAGTCGTGTCTCCAGCTCTTTTCTGTCATAGACCGGCGTGTTGGGAGGCATACGCCCAAATACGTCCCACTCCGCACCTGAATTCTCGTCCCTACAGGAGTTGCAGAACTTGCAGCTGGCATCGTGACTGCAGGACTTGCTGCTTGCTGCCCCGCGCTGGTCGTGTTGGCCGATAGCAGTTGCACTTGTTGCCGCAAGGTAGCCACCTCCGACTGGAGTTGCGTGATAACAGCTTCCTGTGTACTTTGCCGGGTTTCATTTTGGTGCGCATATTCTTGAAGCTGCTCGATCACTTGCTGCAGCAGCTCCTGGTTTGCCCTGATCTCCTTGTAGTTGTCCTGTTGCCGGCGCTCGGTGCGATTGGTGAACTTCGTGACGGAGTCAAGCATGAGACCTTGGTCTGGTTGTAGATCGTTGATTGTCTTCTCCAGACTTCCCAGACTACCCAAAACAGCTCGCACTTGCGCGATCCCACCGGCTCGGAGCTCTTCTTCCTCACCCACGCTGTTGTAGTCTTCAACGCCGTCTGCTTCCATCATAATAACCTTCGTGGAAGGCTACAATGTTGCAAATATGGTGGCCCTCTCCCCTGAATGAGCAACCTAGTAGAGAAAGCCCCAAATAGTGCGGTGGCACGATGCAGCTTGAGGAAGCGGGAGTTGGACGGCTTGACGGACTTCGACGGAGCGACAAGCCGGGTCGATGAAAGCAGATTTTAACTTGTTTGTTGGTTAGCGGTGTTTTCTCGAAGTGAGGTCTCCTGCCTGCTGGCGGCCGGAGATCCTTCGCTATGGATCTTGCCGTTGCGAAACGGACTAACTCCGCCACACACTCAGTGTTCGGCGGTGACAGGAACGGGATCGTTGTCGCATTCATCGCGTGGTTGGATGGCAGCCCCACCACCGCGTAGATGTCATCGACCACGCCCAACTCGTACAGCAACCTGCCCAAGAAGGCCGGGAACTTCACGCGAGAATAACCGCACCCGTGACAAGGTTTCCCCTTTTTTTTGGGGGGGGGGGGGGGGGGGGGCTTGACCGGAGTTCGTGGGCTTGTCCCGGGACCAGATTAGACCAACTTGACCAGATGGGACCAGTTTAGACCAGGTGCCTGTCCCGGTACATGCCCCGGTAGGCTCACGATGTCACGGGGGTGACATCCCCTTTTTCTATAGAAATTTGTAGTGAAATGTTTTGCTTAAAGCTTCCACAAAACTGAAGGAGATCGGAGCTGCACCAGGAGAACACCACCACGAGGGAGTAGAGGCGACGATGGCCTGCCAACACCGCGACATGCCGACTAGCATGATGGTTGAAGGCTCCCGGTGCCCATGGCGGTGGTGATCATCAAGTCCGTGGCACCTAAAGTTGGCAAAGCGAAAAAAAACTCTCAAGGCACCTCGCTGAATGTACGCATACAATGCCATTCATCCTGTTTATTTACGTATCTTACGTATGAGTGAGTGTGTCAATCTAGCGTCGTGATAACGAGGTGATCCGAGCGTTCCCAGCAGCATGCCAAGTTGCTAAACGACATGGTACCGCAGCCACCGAGGACTTCAGCACGTTCGAGTCGCTCATGGACTTCAACACGAGCAGTGCGCCGTTGACGGCCAAGGAGGGCGCTTCATGGCGGGCAAGCAGTTCTACAACCACGAGATGTACGGCAGTCTGCGCAAGGGTGGTGCCGTCGACTTGTTGTCCATGGAGTGTCTGGGCCTCATGGCCGCCATCTTCACGCCCATGCTGTCGTACCAGGCGCTGGTCGTGCAGGCGCAGCTCATGTACAACACGCAGCTGGGATTGGTCTCGTCGCAGATCGTGGCGGTGGAGCGCCTCATCCAGATGCCAGTGGCACCGAGTTTCCTCGTGGGGCTGCTCTTCGATTGCTACCCGATCATGGGGCTCCGGCGCAAGGGCTACATGATCTTCGGCTGCATCTTCAACGCCGTCGCGGTGTTCAGAATCGCTGGTGTTAGTGCGTCTTTGGGTGCTGATTCGACAAGTAACAGCATGGTCATCCTGGTGCTCGTGCTCGTGGCGCTGGTCAGCGTGGGCTACATCATCACTTACTCTGCGTGCACACGCGCGTGATCAAGTACTCGCAGCGCGACCGCGGCGCCATCCCGGCGTCGTACTTGATTTTCCGCCGATTCGTGTTCATCTTCACGTCGGTGCTGTTGTTCCTGGCGCTGGCCACGGGCTCGGAGCCGTCACCAAGGTGCTGACGCGCTACACAAGCAGGAGGTGTCGATTCTGGGCTGGTACCGGCGTAGCATCCGCGACTTACAGTACGAGAAGCTGGGGAGCGGCATCTGCTATGAGGTGGCGGACGAGCAGGTCAAGAAGGCCTAGCACCACGTGCTGGTCGAGCATCACCCCGAAGGTCGGAAAATAGAATATCATATTGTATTTTGGTTTTGGAAGCGCAGTAATAATGTTTGCAATATTACCGTTTGCAGATCTTTTGGCCAACGCATGCTTATTATTTCGTTAATAGTATTGTGGAAACCGATTATATTGTCTAATTGGAATATAAATCGGTTGATTAAGCAGATGATTAAGCTTAATTGGGTCGGATTTAGCAAATATGACCTCCTAATTAGATAGACAGCCTAAGATTTGTACTCTGATTTGACAGAGCAGTCTGTTGTGCCTACATCGCCATGTGGCAAGCTGATTTAGCATCTCCACGACTTACAAAGCCTTGGACGGCTGATTTGCATGCTAATCACCCCGAATGTCCGACACCTACTCGGCATTCGGCGGCCGATTTAAAGTAAAACCGACAAACGCTAATGCTGACGAGAAATGACAGCGCAAATACATGACTTCACAACTTGATAAATAGATAGCAGTACGTATCGACTGCTCACAGAAACGTATTTAATGCACGCGATGCTATTCCTTGTTAGTAGGTGCGCGAAACATTAGCTCGTGGCGGTAAGTGGTCGTTCCTCGCATTGCAGGCGGTAATGAGGCAACCCCTAATTTTTTTTAACCTTACACCGATTTATACCCTTACTGATGTCATATGAAATCATAGGAATCCCCGATTTAGTACTAGTCAAATCCCTCATGAACGCTGCTTTATCAGCTAATCCGCTCGGACAATCTAATCGGTTTCCACAATAATCTCGATTTTAATCCAGTCAGCTCTTAATTAAGACCTAGGTCTGATTTATATATCTCGCCAGTACGGTCTAACATCCAAGCTTGAGGCTCTGTTTTCCCGACCAAAACGCTTTTCTGCGTCTTGGAAACGCAGAAATGCCATTCTAGACAGGCCAAACCGAGTTTCTGGGCCTAAAAGCGGCCTCCACCAAAGCACAAAGCTAAAGCAGCCCTCGCCTATCTCGTGTCCACTCGTATTAAGAGACAGGCGTGGTCTATTTTAGAGGACAAAGTATGTGCAAGCGGCAATACAGGGCCAGCCAATAAAACAGTATTTTCACAATTATTGGCAATAAATATATACGGGATTTTTGTAGTAAGCTTAGTTTTTGTATTGGCGCAAGTGTTGATATTGTATTGGGACAATTTTCCATTGTACGGGAGCACCCTAAAGCAATAATAAATTATTCCGTGCAAAAAATGCCGTAACTATTGTATTGATATTATTTTTTCCAACTCCTGATCCTAACTACCTAATGCTGCAGAAGGCGTACGAGTCGAGCTGCCGCTTCAATGACTCATCAATCCACTGCTTCGCAACTTCCGGACCGCGCTGTATAGCCTCGCGGATCTTCTGTTGGACCGTCTCCCGCTCGAGCCGCAGACGCCCAACCAAAACGAACCCGCGCGCTTCAAATGAACCTAGACACAGCATACTACGTCTAGCTAGATACTTCCCATCGATACTCTCATTCACTTTCACTACGCTGCAGCTTTACTCATAAGGGCATAAGTGAATCTCATGATTGACTTCTCAATTTCTCGGTCACGCTAATAAAAACTCTAAACTCACGCGGAGGCCGGCGGGCCTTGCGGCCCACGAATACCGGTCAAGCCGTAGGTGCTGAGCACATAGAACACGTCATACACGCCATTGGCTTCCAAGTTGAAGGCCATCTGCGTCTTCCCCGTCCCCGAGGAATTCTCCAACACAATGAAACGATTCGTTCCTGACGCTGTGAAGTTCTCGGTCACACTCTCTATTGTCTTCACTTCCGGTGAATCTTTCAGAAGATGAGCGACTTCCTTGTACTGCTGGATGGCGCCAACATACTTTTGGTCGATGGAAAGGTGCCACACTCTTTCGTGAGGCTGCCGCACTACCACAATAAGCGGAGCGTTCTCGGCTCTTCCAGAGGCGCCGGCCGCTGCATCTCTCTCCAAAGGCGTCTTAGCGTTACGGCTCTCATAAGCCACATGCTGAGATGTCGAGAGGCCGTCTAGAATGCCGCCACTCTCACCGAAGATCGTCTCCAGCACGTGACTCATTGTACTCCCTTCAGGTGCAAGCGCCGCGTCTGGATAGGTGTTCTTGAACGCAGCGCCGCCAGGACTACTAGATACTAGCTGGAACCAGATCCGCGACAATTCGACGATGAACGGATCAGCCGGGTCTTCTCCAATAGCACCCAGCTTTATATGGAGCCCCAGTCTTTCTCCTCTGTTGTAGGCCGCGTTGGTGTACACCTTGAGCGCTGCTGTCTTAGCCCAGGGCAGCTTCAACTGCTGGAGCAATGCGTCGCAGAGATCGCCAACGTCTTCGGCGTCTTCCGGCACCCGCAGCGAAGCTAGTGGACGTCCATCGAAGCGGAACCAGCGTTTCTTGGTCATCGTTGCGTGTGCTTCTCTTCCGGGTGGAAAGTTGGGAAATGAACATGACTCGGGTCTACACGGAAGTTTGATGGCTACCCCTGGATTGAACTGATACTCCTCTGCCCGTTGATTTCAACTGATTTTTTTTCATTACATACAAAATGAATCCTTAGCGTTTAGTGGTTCAGTGAACTGAGGCAAAGGAATCAGCCCAGTTGGTTTTGGAACACGAAGATTAAAGCGCAATCAATTCACGCTACTTATTGCCCACCGCGTTCGCAGCGAATGGTTTCCAGCGAGGCCCCGACTGCTTGGCGCTTCTGAGGTGGTGGGATCGAAAATCAATGCGAACGAATCGGGCGAAAGATAACTTGACGGGCAACACGGGGCGCGGCAAACTCGAAGATCTTGGAAAACACAAATTCATCCGCCTCACCAAGTTGAGATTCATGAGTCTTGGTTTGTTCCGCTTGGGTTTGCGTTCGCAGCTTTTTGACGCTCACAAACGCCAGCTTTATGTTCAAATCAAGCGGCAAAGCCTGCGCAGTAGGTGTCAAATGATGCTTATCAAAGGCGTCAGCATAGTTCTCGTATTCTGCGGGCGCCACCACTTGCAAACCTTCGAGATATGGACTCATCTCGAGCATCCGCAGAAGAGCATTCAAACGTTCAAGATCGGTCGTGCTAGATTAACAAGCAGCTGGAGCAATTTGTGCCAGTGCCTCCATGTACGCGGCACTAGGATTCTCACGTTGTTGTATACCGCACAGTGTGACGAGAGTATGGTCCTCGTCGCGGTTGCCTTTATTTTGGTTCTTGTGCAGATCAGGTCTAGGATTTGAACATGCTGGTTATGAGACCGAATCCGTAGACCTGAACCAAACAACTACAGCAGTGGAACATGGGGCGCCTTCCAAAACCCTCACCAAAGGTCGCGCATGAAAGTTTAATACCGGAGAATTGTTTGATGAGACCACTTTTTGGTCTCATCAAACAATTCTAATGCGACTCTTAACTAGCAACGTGATTAAACAAGTGACTGAACTCCACTATACTCGAATGTCGCATTCCAGCAACCGTTTTGGGGCGCATTAAACGCTTCGGCAATTTAAAATAAATTACGGATTAAACTGATCAGACGGTTTTATATGGGTTGTTTTGGAAGGCGCCCCATGGGGCGCCTTCCAAAACATGGCACGACGATCCATCTGCATGCCCCGTTCAACTACCTAGATATGTGTCCTACTAAGTATGTTGCAGATAAGGTGGTCTATATGACTGGTTACTCGAATGAGCAGACATTGTGCAGTAGCATTCTCCGATGTATCACTATCACTGCCAGTAATTTCTAACTGTAAGTTAGTGCATGTACCGGTATCTGCATCTATCTCTTCCGAGTGTCTACCCACAGCAAAACCCACTAGCGGTAACCTTACATGCTGGACATTCTTCTACGTTGGTAAGATGTACTAGAATGTAAAATAGAAAATTGTGGAAAACAACACAAAGTCCACAAGGCACCAATAGGTGTACACCCAGTAACTGGGATACCCAGTTGCTTGCGGCGTAGTAAAGTACCGTAGCCGAAGTGCGCAACGTTGCTGAAGAAGCTGTGCCAGTAATGTCAAGGACGCATAACACATTGTATAACCTCGCAGCAATACAGTGTTCGAAGCAATTGTGTTCGAATCGACATGAAACTACGCAGTACGCAGACTTGACTCCGTTCCTAATGGTCTGTCTGTCTCGCCTGCAGTACCTACCGTCCTAGCGCTTCCAAGTCTTACTCTTTGAGTCAGGCAACTTGTATGCGCGGCACGACTGAGAGCCCGCGGCAAGTGTGGACCGAGATCTTGCCCTGGTCAGTGTATTTTGTGAGGCTGCGGTGCCGTCCAGGTCCACGGCGGTGACGAAAGCCTGGCGCCTCCAGCTCCACGACCGTCGTACGCTTAGGATTCTTGTGCTTGGACTTGGTCAGCACAATGTCGAGCACATAGTCCTTCAGGTACACGTTGTGTGAGAGAGTCAGCGGGCCGGTGCTCATCTGATCAAGTCCGCGCGGCGGGGAAAGGATGCCATCGGTGTGCTTCGTGTCCTCAGCGCCTAAACGCAAGACAGGGGGATTCAGACATGGCGAATTCGGAGCGCACTTACGTTCAGTGTTCTTGAGGTGTCCAGGCAGCACGCCATACCACGATAGCAGCATGTTCTTGTCGTTGTCTTTCCGAGGATCTCGTAGCATGTACCCCATCACAGCGCTGGCATCGCCCACAGGCTCGGGTGGCATCAGCACCTCGAGATGCGCTCCGTCGCGCGTAGAGCTCTTGATCACAAGATGCGCGGCCAGTCTTCGTCGTCGGCGATGCACAGCGGGCGTGCCCGGGTTCTCCTTCTCCTTGAAACGCAGCCGCCGTCTCGTGCCCAGCGGCGACTTCTCCGATGGCAAGTCCGCGGGGGTCGTGCGAGCTTTCCGTAGGCGCACCGCAGGCTGCTGCTGCTGCACAGTGTTGTTAAAAACCCACCTTTTTCGACAGTTGGGCGGGTGATTGAATCTATCTGGGGGATTGGGTGAAAATAGGTGGTTTTTCTATTTTTCATAAAATTCGACAATATAGGCTTCTGATTGGCTCATTTGGTCTCAAAATCATAAAATAATTTATCCTTGGCCAACTATTAGACTGTTTGTCCTAATATTTGCACTGTAACTCTACATTATAGGCAAAAATAAAACCTGTAAAACCCAAATATGCTGCCGTAGGGTGGGTGGGTTGCCCCAATATTCCATTGTTCCATTTAGCAAAAACCCTAGTACTGCATCTGCATCCCCCAGCTCACAAAGCTCGCTGGGGGTGCCGGCAGGTGGGGAGGGAGCTCATTGCATGACGTGCTGGACCGTTAGGTCTGGAAGGCTCGACATCACCGACAAGCTGGCATCTCGGGGATGCTTGCCAGCGCCATGGCACCCACTGCGCTGAGGCTCGACAACTTTCGTAATGTAGTCTTTTGCGTCTTCCGATGGCGAGTGTGATCGAATCACGAGATCATAGAAAAAATACTATCTGACCAAATCCAAGACCTGTTCTGCATAATACCCATTTAAAAATCTACCCTCGTCGCCTCCTTGGTCAAAATTCAGGTAAAATGTCGTCGATATTTTCTTCTTCATAAATACTGCCGCGGAGTTATTTGAATTCTTCACTCCGCAGTATTTTTCCCCCATATAAAGAAACGCGGCTTCATCAATTTGTACTACGGCTCCCAACAGAGCCAAAGCCTCGCGTAACTTCTTGATACGTCCATGATTGCAGCGAGCAGAGAGATTCAACTCGAGTAGGCGCGGGTAGCCATCCCAGCCGTCCGTTTCGAACGAAAGTCGGAAACGTGACTTGAACGCCAAGCACCAACGGGTCAGAAAATTCCACCGCTGATCCGACATTATTTCTTAACTGCGGGGAGAAAAGGTATGTTCGCAGCACTAAAGCTTCTCCATCGCCAAAAACCTTCACTCATGGCATTTACCTACACCTGCCGACACGATCGAGCATTGGTTAAAATACTGAATTTATACGATTGGTCTAAATGGCCATCTTCACACTTCTTGCATTTTCATTTCTCTGGCCGTCACAGTAGTGACGGCAGCGCCCCTGATCGAGTTCGCAGCGCCGTGACCTTCGCTACGCCCCTCCCCTCCAGACCTCACGTGCGTGGCATGAATGTGTGCACAGGCGCAAACAGGGCTCCAAGCCAGCGCGTCGCCTGTGAGATGACGGTAGTCTGCGAAGGTGCTCAACGGCTGGTGCGTTGCATTCCGTTGCCGGAAGCACCCGTGCTACTGTCATTGCTGCTGCCTGCAGTCTGAGCATCGCCACGGCAGCTGCTATCTACATTCTGATCAACGCCATGCTGGCGTTGCATGTTGCGCTGCGCTGTCAGCGCTTGCATACGAGTGCCAAGTACGGCACGGTCGCGTGCTAGATGCGGTACGGTTGAAGCCCGTGATCGTTCTCTAGGAGCCACCAGCGTGCGGCTCATCCAGCACAAGAACTAACAGCTAATACACTGGGTTAAGGAGTGAAGGAGGAGTGCATTCATTCCAACATTTACCGCCTGCAGCGCAGGTCTCCTCCTCCACTTCCAAGTCCCTGCCTCGGCATTCTGCCGAAGCTATTCCGGCGTTCAGAGTCTCGTTTCCCTCAGCCTCCACTTGCGTGCAGACTGAGCAGCCTGTGCACCGACCCGTGTGGACACCATACAAAATTCAAGTGTTCACACGTCGCAGGTTGTGAGCCTAAACTCTGACACGCCTCCGGCTTCTCCGCCAGCCGATGGTGACCAGCCTGTCGACTTGCCGTCGCCGAATCAGTTGCAGAATCAGGCCGACTCTCCCCCAGTCCATGCGGACCCTTGCTCAAGGCTTGGAAAGTCCGCCCGTGCCGATCTTCTCGCCGTTCGGAAGGCCTCCATCTCGGCAGGACCTCTCGCAGAGCCGAACGCCGAGCTATGGCGCGCGCGCTTCAGCTTGAAGGCAGCTCTGGGAGCACAGCTGTTGCAGAAGCTGTGGCTCCAGCGACCATAAACAAGTTCAGTAGCACTGCCGAGGTAGACATTGAAGAGAAGCTCTCAAAGCCGCAGCAGTACGTTGCCTGGCGCGCCCGTGTGCTTGCAGCCCTGAACGTCTCAAACATGGCTCGACTGGTGACCGGCCAAGAGCCACTGGACGCCTCCATGAGCGCGCATTTGCAGAACCAGTGGATCACCCGTGCGGCTGCCGCCAATAACATCATTATCACAGCACTTTCTGACGCTGTGATCGAGCGCTACGCGTCGCTGATCGGCGAGGCAGACCCCGTGAAGCTGTGGCACGTGCTTCACAATGACTACGGTCGTGGCCCGGCGGTCAACACCGTTGTGATTCGCTCGCGGACCTATGGCCGTGTGCTTGGCCGTCAAGAGCAAGTTGCTACCTACATCGAGGTCACCATGGCCTTGCAGCGCCAATTGATACAGGCCAACGATGGTCTCGATGAGCATGAGATTGCAAAGGTGCTGCTCAACAACGTCTCGGACGTGTACCCGCGCGTCGCGTCCGATTTGCAGAATCAGCTTTACAATTGGCCGTCGACTCGGCTTACTGTAGCAGATGCAAGCTAGTGTATTGAGAATGCAGAGCAGACTGAGCGTCGAGACCGATACGCATTTGGTTCGCGTGGTAGCAGCAACGGCGCAGGCATGACAAACACTCATCAAACGAACTCGGTTGAGCGCAACCAGGGCAGCAAAGGGAAGGGCAAATACAAGAGCGGCTCTGGCAACAAGGCCTCCAGCTCGAAGAAGGTGACAACGCTGGAGTCTCGCGAGCAACGCATCGCGCTCAAGAAAAAGAACTCCAAGTGTAAGGCGTGCGGAGAGTTCGGCCATTGGAAGGGTGATGCCGAGTGTAAGGTCCAGGGTTCAGAAGCTGGCGCTGCCGCTACTGCAGATGATGATCGAGGCATGCGGTCCATGTCCGCTGGGGCCGTATTTCGTTCGAGCAACAAAGCCCATCAAGGAATGAAGTGCACTCCGTCTCCACGTGCGAGTTCGGACGAAGACAGCTCAGCTATTGACAGCGACGAGAGTGATGCCAGCGAGGGGCGTCACGTGGAGCTGGTACTAGCTGTGCAGAGCCGACCCTTGCCAGGTCTCCACTCTGACGAAATTGAATGGGTCCTGGACAACGGGTCGCAGGTGAATCTTTGCGGCGACATCTCGATGTTCTCGTATGTGGACCGTGAGGTGAGTGGAGAACTGAAGATCGCGTTAGGGCAGACTGAAGCATTGGAAGCTACGGGCAGTGTGGCAATCCGTGTCTTAAATGAGACTACGAGCCAGTGGGAGCAGCGCCGTCTGAATGACGTTCACTACTCGGCTAATGCCCATATCAACTTGCTGAGCTTGGGGTACATGCAAGCCCTCGGGTTCAAGATCAGTTTCAGCTCGAGCCAAGACACGGCATGGCTCAGCAACGGTAACTTGAAGCTGAAGTTCGTCAAGCATGATATGCTGTATCGCTTACGATGCCGTCGCTCACAGCGTCTTGTAGCTACTGTCGCTGTGCGAGCAGACGCTATGGAGAGGCTGCACAACCGCCTTGACCCTGCAAGTATGGATCTGATAGAGAAACTCGCCAGCGGCAAAGTGGACTTTGGCCTGAAATTCAACATGAAGGACCTTTCCTCGTATGAGTGCGTGCCTTTCATCTCGGCCAAGCTGAAGCGCATGACATACTAGCGCGATCCAGAACGAAAGCGTCGCCTTCTCGAGAAGCTGTCGATGGACCTCTGCTCCCTACTGCCACGGGTGACAAGATGTTCCTGTTGGTGGTCGATGATGCCACTCGGTACAAGTGGTGTTACTTGCTGGAGAGAAAGGATGATGCAGAGCCGCTACTTATGAACCTGGTTCGACGCCTAACAACTGATTTCAAGAGCAATGGGCTCGGTGTGGTTCATCTACACTCGGATAAGGGTGGCGAATTCTTGGGGGACGAGCTCAAGGCGTTCTGCGAACGGCGCGGAATTACCCAGTCATCCACCAACTCTTACTCTCCCGAGGAGAACGGGATTGTTGAGCGAGCGAATGGTACAGTGCTGCCAAGATTGCGGGCGCTGCTGCATGCAACCAACCAGACCAACATGCTTTGGGGAGAAGCAGCGCTCCATGTAGTTGACACACTCAACCTCCTACCAACGGCACCGCTGCAAGGCATGTCTCCGCATGAGGCACTTTTCGGCAAGCAGACCAGTCTGCGTCACGTGCGGACATGGGGGTGCCTGGTGCACGCGCATGTACCTCCTCAGTCCAGGACGACGAAAGCGAAGCTCGAGCCACGTGCTGAGCTGAGCTTGCTGCCTGGCTACAGCCGTAGCACGAAGGGGTACAAGCTGATGAATTTGCGCACTGGAGCGATTTTTACGAGGCGCAGTGGGAATGTGTATTGTCACGAGAAGTTCACTGTGGCCCAGACCTACATGCGCCAGTTGCTGATGAACACTTACTTGCATGGGGACTACGAACTTCCAGTGGACATTCCCATCGTACCGATTGCTTCGTCGTTCCAGGCCCGGCTGTTCCCTGAAGCCGGCCAAGCCCCAGGCATGCCAGCAGCACCAGCACCTCACAACTTGCAGCCGGATACAGATCTTCGTGTAGTTGCTGAGCCAGTGGGAGGGAGTGCGCGTGATGCACTACCAGAACCTGCATCGTTCAAACCACGAGGCACCTGCCTCTCACGTTCACAAAGCCCAACGGCCGAGCGAACATCGGTGAAGAGGAGCAAGCGCAAGCAGCGCAAACAACGTGACAACTGCACGGTTGACGATGACTACGAGCCTCCGAGGAAGGAGCCGGTAGCTGCCACACCACGTGATACCGCTGCGCGGCGTACGAGGAAGCCATCAGCCCACCTGAAGGAGTACGTGGTTGGCTCGGTCATGAACACCACTGCGGACATCAAGATTCCCAACTCGTACAAACAAGCCAAGCCAAGTGATCAATGGGCGGAGTGGCAGGCAGCGATGCAGGAGGAGCTCTCATCGCTTCGCGAACATGGAACATGGCAGCTAGTGGCACGGGAGAATGCCAAGCATCAGACTGTGATCACCAACCGCTGGGTGTACGCTGTCAAGCGGAACGCTCAAAGACGAATAAAACGCTTCAATGCCCGCCTAGTTGTGCACGGCTTCAAGCAAGTGTTCCGTGTTCACTACGTGGAAACCTACACACCCGTGATTCGCTTCGAGACGATTAGGTCGGCCATCCTGTTTGCTCAAAAGCGTGGCTGGCTCGTACAGCAGTACGATGTGAAAACAGCCTTCCTCTATGGACTGCTCAAGGAACTAATTTACACGGAGATTCCAGCGGGGTCAGATGAAGGTG